TTATGATTAGTAATTTTTAATTATCAATAAATAAATTTATATATTTAACATATAATATGTATTATGTATATTATAAGAACATATATATTAAATCGAATATATACAATAATTATTTCATATTATAGTCATAATCATTTTAAAATGATTTTTAAATTCTCTAAAGAACTTCTTATATATGAAAAAATAAATATAAAACATATGTCTAACTAATAATTAAATTTGAGCGATAATTAATTAGCTTATTATCATCAAAAACCAAAATTAAAAGCGATTTCCGCTTAATTTTCGTGAATTACACTAAATCAACACTTGAATTGAAAAATTAATATTTTTCATGAAACTTAACATGTAGGTAATAAAATAGTTAGTAGTTGGAACTCATTCAAATTTAAACGACAAAATCAAAAAGTGGAGGTATGTAATATCAAAAGTATTTAGAGTGCACACAAATTTTTATAAGAGTATTTAAGTCGGAGGTTATTAACGCTGATATTATTTATACTTATAAGTAAGTACATTTAATTTAAAAAAAAGATTAGAAAGGATAACTTGACTTAGAAGTAAAATACTATATTTAATACATTTATAGCCATTGATATATAAAAACATTTGTATGTTAATGTTTATAAATAAATATGTTAGGACATTAACACACAGCACCATCTAGTTCCATGGTAAGCTACGGCCTACGAGGCTTGAGTTATGGATACCAGATAGTTGATACACTACGCATATAGAACTTTAGATACATACATATTATAAATATAAACACCCATGACTGGAGTACATACATTCGTGCTCAACACACAAATGAATGCCCCAGCGGGACTCGAACCCGCGACCGCTGACACAGCAAGTAGGGTCTCTACAAAGTGAGCCAAACGTATCGTCAAATGTTTATAGCACCTGAAACTGTTTCAAATAGGTATTATTTGTTTTAAATATTACAAGGAAATCATTTATATATTCTCGACATCGAAATTATCGGTATCTATAAAAAAAAGACCCATAATTTTTTTTAAGTAAATCTAAAACATTATATTTATTTATATAGTATACTAGCATTGCCCGCGGCTCCGCCCGCGTTCAGATGACCAAAAACAAAATTCTTAGGTTTTACAGATTAGTATACTCTGTCATTGCAGTTTTTGCATTTTTTCTTAGAAATGAGATATTTTCCCGTAGTAAAAAGTACCCTATATGTTGACCCGGATAACCAGCTATAATCACTCCAAATTTCATTAAAATCCCTCCAGTGGTTTTTCTGTGATGCGGTAACAGACAGACAGACAAAAATTCTAAAAACTATAGATTCGGCCTCTGTATCGATTATAATGTTTATTTCAATAAGATTTTCCAAAAAATAGTTAATGTACAGATTCGGCTTAGTTACAATTTTATTATATGTATAGAAAAGTCGATTTAAACTTTTTCCCACAAGTTTGTACTAGCCTTTAATAAATCCGAAATATTTTTAAGTAAATTGTACGGTCTTGGGTATCTCATATCTACTAACTGTGAAGGACGTCAACTAAAGAGGGTACACAAAAGACAATAAAAGCTTATGAAAGACTGACACAAGAGCTTCATAAGTAATTAGGTCGTGAATTTCTCCATTAAAGTGGTTATATATTAATCAGTTGACATTCATCTATATAATGAAAATACTAAGTATACGATTTTGCAAACATGAAGAATGTGACACTGATTTAAAACAACTAGAGTTTGCTGATCGCCTAGCTGTCGAAATTAGATCAAATTCTTAATTCTCATTCTTAAAATAGGTATATATTAAATAGATTTCACCTAGATAGGTATAAAAAGAACTATTTCCAAAAAAATATTGTTAACATTAAAGCTTGTCAATAGCTATTAAATTAAAAAAAAAGAAAATCGTAGAGAAGAGAAAACGTACTGAACGGTGGTGTCTTTGCCTATGAATGATGCATACATATGTATATAATGTATTTACATCAATAATGCAGGTTCAAAATCATAACAACGTTTCTAATGTAAGATACTTGATAGAGATAAATTCTTCAAGTGGGTGACGAAGAAATTCATTTTTAACACAAAAAAAAATAAAGAAAAATATTAAAATAGGATGCCGATTTTGATCAAATTTTAGTTTGCGTTAATTTTAATCAATTATTTTCGAGAATCGAACTCCTTTATTTTCCACTTCTTTTTCAAACAGACAACCTCTTTTACACAATTACTGATTATTCCAATATTTACTAGTGTCGTTGTTATAGGGTTATAGTAAAAATACTTGATGTTATTCAATGAAATTTTCGATTAAACAGTGAATTCCATTGCCTTTCGGAATGGGATGGAGGAATGCGAATGAAATTTATATAGTATTTCTTTTAGGTTACAATCTACACGAATATTTAAAGATATTTGTCTCTACATAAAAAAACTACAGCTAAGTAAGAATATATACCTATATAGTAGAATTATTCATATTGTCTTACATTTGCAGAACCAAGAAGTAAGAATTGCAAAGAATAAACATTATTTTATAATGCTTTATAATGTTTGAAAAAAAAACATTGTTTTATTTAAAATGACTATTATCTACATACGAGTATATGTATATGGACGCGAAACCAAGAGACACACGGGGAGGAAGCCACTTCGGTGGGCGGTGTACCATGCGGGTTACTCCTGGTACTTCCCGACAGCAGAAGACAGAGCAGATTCTCTGATAGCAGAGTGGACCGTTGGAGCAACCCCTTAGTTCTGTGGTCTGCTTCGCCACACCTGCCGTCAGGGCGTCTTAATAGAGTGCGTAAGCGATCCTATGACATCCCATTAAGACGGAGAGGGTTCTGTTGGGTTTTAGTGAGTAGTACTGGTTTTCTAGTCAAAGAGTCCCACATAACCACCTGTACGTATAGAGGTGGTATGCATAAATTTATTTCCTAACATTTAAGAAAAGGATACTCTACATGTCTAGAAACCGTAAAGTTCTCGCGAGACAGCGATTAGAAGTTAACATAAGTACTTCCTTAATCGTAATAATTTCTACGATATTTTATATGATATGTCATGAATAACTTCTTGTTTTACCAGCTTTATACGGACACAGCACTTTTGCCTGCGGTTTTGCTTGTGTCGGTTATTTAGGCGTAATAACTTATTAATAAGCATATTATGATTGCGGTTCACAAAATGATTTCATAGAAAGTTCAAAGGTCATGGCAAAGGGCATTTGTACATATTATTACTTATTATCATAGTAAATATTAAAGGATTATTGCCTTCCAATTGAAATTTAATCATTGACGAACGCGTCACCATACAACTCTTCTTGCGATTATCTAGTGTTCTAGATAATCGCAAGAAGAGTATGACTATAATGAGACTTTAACTATGTTGCTCTACTATCTATACTTAGGAGCGTTTAAAATTTTAGGTTTCAAAAAAAAACAAGCACACGTTGGTGATAGATGCTTCTATAGATAGGTTCTGAATAAATTAACCAAATTGGTTTTACATTATATCACATAACTTTTTGCGGTAGAAGATATATGTACGTTGCGAGACTTGCAATTTTTTTACATGTTATGTTTTTGATGGGATTTTGTATAAAAATAATAAAATATAAACAAATTTACTAATATATTTAAGACTTTAAAGATATCATATACCATCAATACTCTAAAAGATAAAATTTTAAGTTCATACCACTCATCTATCAGTGGCTGTCTTTAGTCCATTGGGAGCGCTCGCTTCAAAAACAGTGAATGGGGATCAAGCCCGGGCCTTTCACTTCTACAATTTCTATGTACAAATCTTTAAAATATTACTAACTTACTCATACGGTTATTCTTTATGGCGAAGAGAAACAACGTGAGGAGGCCGGCATATCTGAGAGAATCTTACAAGTTTTTAAACGTGTGAATTCCCTCAAACTGCATTGGGCCAATATCGTGGCCTAATTATTGCATTGAGAGAAGGAACTTGCCAACAGTGGGTCGGAAATAATGTTATATGGTGGTAATACGTAGAAACTTATTTTGGATAGGTTATATATTAAAACGAATAAGTAAACTATAAAAAATAAGTTTACACGTACAGTAATCTTCTAATGACTTTAATGTTCAAGAGTAAGTACATTTAATTAATAGGTTCCTTGAATTTTTCTTAGACGTCTGAGCCATCTAAAAAAATGTTTGTTACTAAAAATTAATATAAATATTATAGAAATCAACCTGTTCGTATATTACTTATATGTTTGATACGTAAATTATTCGCAGCAGCAATGGAATATATGTAAGTATATGGAATATATGTAGGTTCCGTCTAAATCCAGGATAGGTCGACATATTAAGATATCTAATGAAAAACCATAATGCTGTCAGTTCAATGTTTACCTTATATTATATATACTCGTACATAGATTGTTAATTCATATTTTTAAATAAATCTTTTAAATAAATATAATAAAAATAAGAAAAAAAACCTACACGTCTAAACTGTACAGTACTTTAAAATATTTAAATCTCTACGAGGTCTCACTCTAGTTCTAAAAGCATAAAATTAGGTTAACGTAATAACCTGTCAACGGAGAATGAAAAGAGAGGATGGAAATTAAAAGCGAACTGGAACGCTTCGTTAAAAGTTAAATATAGATCTAACAAATGCTTAGGTAATGGCGAAACGAGATGAGAATACTCGCAGGACAAATTGGAAAATGATGTTAGCGATGTTCAACGCCTTGACTCCTGCATGCCACAATATTACGATATCGTACGTATATCTAAATCTGTAGGAAGAAAATCAATAAACACTTTGAGATGACTCTCCACTTCTATGTTTAACAGTTTATATAATGACAGAGTTTGTTGACAGTGGACGTTTTCTTATCAGCTCGATACGCCTCCGCCCAATACCACGCCCTCGCAGCATCCGTCTTCATGGACCAGAATTAATAGTATGGCTTGATCACGTGTGTGATGAATTCTGATTAAGATAAGTATTAAGGAACTTACCCGCGATAACGAGGTCCCTGTTTGGGCGCCATTTATCGCGTGATGATGTCGCGTTAATAGGAACGAGATACCTCGGACGCGGCAAAGGCCAGCGCGCGACTGACGTGCGGCATTGCTGCGAGGCGCTTGCGTGTGTCAGACTGGCGCACGCGCTCTGCTGTCCACGATTTGTTTTGCTTTTGAACTCTATCGGTGCAAGAAAATGAGATTACGGCTCTATAGATGCGACACGCTGCGGGGCATTCTAATGTGGAGAATTCATGTGGGTATTTATTAGGGTAAGCGCTTAAAGGCGTTTGTTTTGGTGTGTGGGTTACAATATGTATACTTTTATTTAGCGTTATGTAAAGTATAATGATGGTCATTAGAAATTGAAATATATATTTGATATAGTAAAATATTTCTGATAATTCAGAGGTTATGTGATGACATAAAATATAAACAAATATTGTTAATGTATTCGATATTCTTAAATTGATAAAATGCAATATTTAAAACATCAAGACGAAAATATCCCAAAAGCCGCATAAGACAAGTAGTAAGCACCCACGTAGTGTATATATTTTAGAATTCTTGGCGCTTTGTAGTATCATTTTAGCTTATCGTACGCTATGATCCGATACAAACAAAAGGTTGAAGGTTGATATCCGAAACTCAAATGGAATGTTAAGGGAAATTTGATGTTTCAGCTCCTATCTTTCCGTATCTTCTTAATTTTTGTATTGAGAATTATTTAAGGGTTAAGTATTTTTATGATTGACTTCTAGCTACAACTTGTTGAGAGTTGTTTAATCTTTTAATTAAATACTACTTAATTGAGTTGATTTAGTGAATATGAAAGTAAGTATAAAGTAAATGTGAAAATTTGCATGTGTGTGTGTGTGTGTGTGTTTCGAGCTACAAGGATTCAGACAAACTTGTAATGAAACACAGATAAACTATGACCCTTTTTTTAAATGTTGGGAAAATCATTTACTCATACGGCATACCACCTGTATACAAACAGGTGGTTATATGTGTTTCTTCGGCTAGAAATGCCAGTACTACCCTCTGAAACCCACCGGCACCTCCTCCTACGTCTACTTCCGTCCGTCCGACCCAAAGTAATATATAGGCTACTTAGTAATAAAATTTGCCAAAAGACGCTGGCTGTCTATAATGTTACAAGTACATAGGCTCGCCAATCGTAGTGTAATACATATAGTTTTGTATTATATTTCGGGTTTGCGTACTATATGCTGTTGGAGAAATATATACTCGTAGTACCCAAAAATACTATATTTTCAAAACCGGAATCTAACAAACAAGTCAAAAACGTCATTCCTGCTCTCTATAGGGTCCCGTTACTTTGGAGTTCGGCATTCACAGGAAAGACTGGCACGCATTAAAGCCATTAAATAAGGAACTGAACACAGAAAGAATATTTTTGGTTATGAATTCGAAATGGCGAGAAGAAAAAAACAGAAGTAGTGTCTCATTAATAAAAACGAGCTTTTGATTTACTTTAATTTAAAAATTGAATGTAATAAAGCATATTATGACACTTTTACTTCAGACAAAAAATTGTTATGAAATGCAAGAAGTGCAAAAAATATAGTTTTTATAAAAATAAATAATAAATATATCTTTGTCTTTATATCTATATTTTTTGTAGTGTACCATATTTTTTTAGCTTATTTTGAAAAATACTATACTTCGCTGAAGAAATGTTGGCAACCATACAAGTACACTAGGAACGCACCCGAGTGAACCAAGGGTAAGTCACCAGCTATGCTATAATTCACCACATTGGCCAAACGCGGACTTCAAATGTTTTTCAAAAACTACTTGATTCTCTCATAAGTGCAAATGCAGATTTACTTCACTATGGAGCGGGTTCAAACGCTTTATTCTTTTTAGCCGACTGCAACGAGACCAAACCTAACAAATTTATAACACCCCTCTTTTTGCGTCGTGGGTTAAAAACCGGTACAATTTGTCATCGTGTACAATAAATATGGATTATTTAAAGCAATATTTCCATACGAATATTTTTTTTGATTAAAAATTTATTATTTTGGATATACTAAAGAAATCCAAAAAATTGCAAGTACCAGATGGAAATTAATATTAAAAGTACATCGAAAAAAATTATAAAACCATATATATAATATCCACATTTTTTAACGTTGGATTTATACTCTAAAATAAATATTTTTTATCAATGATATGGTTTTTTACTGGCAACACGTGTAACTACTGTCACTGGATGTCAAAGAATTTCCAGTATTGTATTGTGGCAACATTGTCTATTCTTCCAGAATCAAAAAAGTGTGACGAGCGTATATATCATTTCCAAAAAACAAAATTAATTGAAAATGTCCACGCTTGCTGCAGCTTTAACTGTTGCGGGGACCAGACATTCTGGGGCTCCCGTCAGAAGCCAAAATGGTAAGTCATTTTAACGTCTCTCACAATATATACCCCGGTAGATCACATCACATGCGATGCTTATGGTTTCGAAATTCATGAATTTAATATTAAAATGAAGTAAACTGTTCCCTTATTGATCAAAATCATAAATTAACGAACAAAAATAGTTATAATAATAACTTTTTAGCCAGTATTATTCCGAATTTATTTATTTTGTTATAAAATAACCTCTTACCTCTTATTGTTAGTCATTCAAGCGATCAATTTTAATAAAGGCAATATATTTTTATCATCTCATTTCATAAACAATCCGGCTATATTACTAGTTTTAAACGAAAAAAATATACTACATGTATTTTTTATTTAGAAGAATAATAAAATTAACATTAAAATACATTTTAAATTTTAATAGTTGTAATAGTACCTTCTTAAAAGTAAAGTCCTTAGTAATTGAGTGTGTATCAGATCGAATGCAACATTATTACATTTATGGGTAAAAAATGATGTTTCCTTATTCTTACTAGTGATGGCTGCTGCTGCCATTGCAAATATTGTTAAAAGTTCTCTGGGCCCTGTGGGACTGGACAAAATGCTGGTTGATGATATTGGTGATGTCACAGTTACTAATGATGGTGCTACAATACTTAAGTAAGTCATATAGAGCTTTCTTTTAATCTCATATAAATTTTTAAACTTCAATAATAATTGTACTTTAAAAATTCAGAGTAATGAAATAAATAATGTCTCTTATTAGAATAAAGCCATAAAAAATGGCTTCCTTTTTTAAAACAAGACATCTGTTTGTAATTTCCTAAAAACTACGCAATTGATTATATATAAATTTTTTATTTTCTATTTTACCTATAATGCAAAGCAAAATTGAAAATACTTTATGTACACTGTTAATTGAAAAATCTTAATCATTAGAATGTTAGAAGTGGAACACCCAGCAGCAAAAGTATTAGTAGAGCTGGCTCAGTTACAAGATGAGGAAGTTGGTGACGGAACCACTTCTGTTGTTATTATTGCTGCTGAATTATTAAAGGTAATTACTAATAATTATCATTATAAAAGTATCTGTAAAGTTAATGATGTTCTCCTGACCGATTTTGGCCACGGAGGCCAATCTCATTGAGACTAGCCAACTGCGCAGGAGATATTATAGTGCACAAGTGTATACACAAGTGCACTCTCTATTCCTGTCACTCTCATACTCTGGTGCTCATCATTGCTGCAGGAATGGATATAAAACCTTAAATGAATATGTGCATTCATGTAAATAAATTCATTGTCTTAAACTACTATAAAAATCTATTATAGTATAATAAAATTTCTCTCTATATATACTCGAAACATCTAAAAGGATGAAAATTTTATTGATTCACAGGGAAATTGTAACATTTGTTAAATTATAATTGCATTCCATGGCATTTCTACTGACAGGCAATGGCTGGTATTAGTAACATAATATATTTAAAATATGTTCATATAAGTTATTTCTTTTCAGAATGCAGATGAATTAGTAAAGAACAAAATTCACCCTACCAGTATTATATCTGGATACCGTCTAGCTTGCAAAGAAGCTGTGAAGTATATCCAGGATAACTTGACTGTCACAGTGGAGTCCTTGGGCAGGGCCTCTATTGTCAATGCTGCTAAGACTACTATGTCATCCAAATTGATTGGAGCGTATCCTTTTTACATAATGAATAAATGTTTAGAAAATATAGCACCTAGTTGATAGCTGTATTCCTATTTCATATACAACTACCACTTAATAAGGATGTCATAAGGGAATATATACTATAAAATGATGATCATATTATATAAAGTATTAAAAAAATTGGTTGCTTAATAAATTAATACAATTCATGCATGAACCTTTCTAGTATTATAACTCGTGTGAATAAACTTAGATTTGCATCATATATCCGTGACTTAGACCAACTTGGCAACTGGCTTCCCTCAAGACAGTGGATCCCAATTCAATTGTTCCATTATAACCAAAAATTCCAAAATTTATGATTTAGTTGTAGAACAAGTATATTAAAGTTAGTTAAAAAATAATTACAATAACAAACAAAAAAAATAATTGGCACTTGCATAGCCACATTTTATGCAAAAAATACTTTTTATATATTTTACAAATTAAAATGAATTATGTTCCTTAATCTAAAAACAGTGATGCAGATTTCTTCTCAGAAATGGTAGTTGATGCTGCTCAAGCTATCAAGATTACTGACCCAAAAGGAAATGCAGTATACCCAATCAAGGCTGTTAACATTTTGAAGGCTCATGGCAAAAGTGCTAGGGAGAGTGTTTTAGTTAAAGGATATGCTCTAAACTGTACCGTGGCATCCCAAGCTATGCCTAAGAAGATTCTTAACGCTAAGATTGCATGCCTTGACTTTTCATTGCAGAAAACTAAGATGAAGCTCGGTGTGCAGGTGAGCTTTTTATTTTTCTGTTACAAATTCAGTTCATTTTAAGCTTACATTATTAGCTATATAAAAAGTTTACTGTATAATAGTTAATAATTATGTTATTTTATAAATTTTACACTTTATAATTTTGATTACCAATAAATAAGCTCTGGCTGAGTAAGCCAAATGATTAAGATTTCTGTAAATCAAAATATCCAAAGAATTTTTATTTGTACTGAAATTTTTAATCCTTTTATTCTTTTTAGTTTTGGGAGATTAGATATTCTAAAAATGTTTGGTTTTCTTTTTTTCTTTTTATAAATAATACAATAAGTGTGGAACAATTTTTGACTTTCGAATTCCATATTTACATATATAACAAATAATGCACACTACAGAACTTTAACATTCACACATTTGAGTTCCGTAGTGTGCATTATTATATGAACTGAAGTGAATGCTTACCACTGAAAAAGCAGTCTAAAATTTATAGTTTTACAATAAACAAACTTATTTATTATATTATTTCTAGGTATTAGTCTCAGATCCAGAGAAACTAGAAGCAATCCGTGCACGTGAATTGGACATTACAAAGGAGAGACTTCAAAAGATCTTAGCAACTGGTGTCAATGTTATTCTATGCTCGGGCGGTATTGATGACTTATGTCTTAAGTACTTTGTGGAGGCCGGAGCCATGGGTGTGAGGAGATGTAAGAAGGCAGATTTGAAGAGGATCGCTAAGGCCACTGGTGCTACATTCTTAACTTCGCTGACTAATATGGAGGGTATGTTTGCTTATGATTAAATTTATTAAATTTTTTATTTTTTTTACTTTTCATTTATTACATTTACATTTATTATAATTAATTTCGTTAGTTAAAATAATTAATTTTTAAAAAATCTTTCATTTTAGATTTATATTTGTTTTAAAATACTTTCTCATATTTTTAAATCAATATATTAGTAAAGTGCACGCAATAAAAATACATATAACTTATAAAGTATTATACATATAAAGTATACAATAAAAATAAATGTTTCACTATACATATTACACTTTTATGTATTAAAGTAGCGACTCACACCTGCTTCGCTCGGGTTCATCCCTAGTTACTTTTTAACGATTAGTATAGATTTCTTAGCGATGATGTATTTTCCCGCAGTAAAAAGTATTCTATATGTTGAGCCGGATAACCAGCTATCATGATACCAAATTTCATAAAAATCTGTACAGTGGTTTTGTCGTGATGCATTTCCAGACAAACAGACATACAAAAATCTAAAAACTATACATTCAGCCTCTGTATCGATAATAATGAGTTTTTCAATAGGATGTTCCAAAATTATTTAATGTACAGATTCAACTCAGAATATTATTATATGTATAGATGAATATTCAAATAAAATTATTGTTTATTTTTAGGTGAAGAAGTATTTGAGCCAAGCATGATTGGTGAAGCAGCTGAAGTAGTTCAGGAACAAATATGTGACGACCAGCTCATCCTAATCAAGGGGTATAATATTTTTATAAAAGTCTTTTAATGTATATTTTATGGGAATCAATTAATTTTTTCTCATACATAAACAGATGGACAAAAATCTTCTAAACCAGTTAAGACATACTAATCTATAGTGCATAGTATAGGTAATATATGTATGTATGGTGTAGATAATTTTGAGAGTTTTAATAAAGCGCTAATTAAAACTCATAAAGCAGTGGCAGCCCAGTGATAACGGTTGGGAAACCAAGTAAAGGGGGTTACCTCGTATTGAAGGGATTTAAAAGCAATAACAATCCCTATTATTATCTGATTACAACAAAACATTATTTAAGTATTCGATATTCGGCTGAATAGGATAAAAGTAGCCGAATAGGCCGAATACCGAGTAATAGATGAATATTTTTTTTGTTTATACTATTCAGAATTAGTGCTTGACTACGTTCCACCTGATGGTAAGTGGTAACGTAGATGAATATTCGTTGCAAGTCTACTTGTAATTGATATCTTTGCATGTCTGTTTCTTTTTTTACTTTAATTATTGTATTGTTTTAACATGTGTATTGTAAGTGTGCTAAACACTACATAGTATAAAACAAAGTCGCTTCCCGCTGCCTGTCTGTCCCTATGTACGCTTAGATCTTTAAAACTACGCAACGGATTTTGATGCCGGTTTTTTAATAGATAAAGTGATTCAAGAGGAAGGTTTATATGTATAATACATGCATATTATAGTACAGAAAAACCGAGAAATTCAAAGATTTGTATTTCATATTAACTGTTAAAACGTACCTAGGGACGAACCCGAGTGAAGCGATGGTGAGTCGCTAGTAATGAAAAAAAAAAATACTAATTAAATTTAATATTCCAGCCCATCAGCCCGCACAGCGGCGTCGATCATCCTGCGAGGCCCCACGGACGCGTACTGCGACGAGATGGAGCGCTCCGCGCACGACGCTCTGTGCGCCGTGCGCCGCGTCATGGAGTCCGGCCGCCTCACGCCCGGCGGCGGTGCCGTGGAGGCCGCCCTGTCTATATACTTGGATAACTTTGCTACTACACTGGTTAGTGTTACTTTTGTTTGTATTTTTTATATTGTCTTTATCGTAATTCATGCTAATGTTATAAATGCGAAAGGAACTCTGTCTGTCTGTTATCCTTTCACACTTAATCCGCTGAACCGATTTATATGAGTTTTGGTATGGAGATGTTTGAGACTCCAGGTAAGACGTAGGATAGGTTTTATCCTTTCATTATAGGGGATGTAAAGGGAGTGGTAGTTTGTATGGACGCAATCATTTCTCAAATAAAAAATATATTTTATAAACTACTTGCATACTTTTCTATACCTATGCATCTATACTAATATTATAAATGTGAAAGTGTGTTTCTTTGTTTGTCCTTCTTTCCCGTCGAAACAAAGTGACACATTGACGTGATTTTTTGTTCGGAGATAGTTGGAAGTTGGAAAGTGACATAGGCTACTTTTTAGGCGTAGGTAATCTTATTCCCACGAGAAAATACGTTATAGTACAACCCACAACAGCAACACGCTTTCTCGCTTAAGACGCGTTTTTGGGTGGGTCCCTGTGAAATCGTTTTAAACAGGTTTTACTGTATAGTCTATTTATTCCATACTAATCGTTAAAAAATACCCAGGGACAAACCCCGAGCTAAGTGAGGGTGAATCGCTAGTATGGTTACATGGTATAAAATACAAAGCGAAGTAATTCATCATTCATCTGCTTATTAAATGAAAAGCATTGCTTTTTTATAAATACTAGTGACTCACCCTCGCTTTGCTCGGGTTCGGGCTCGGGTAGCTTGCTTCCCAATACAAACTTTCATCCCCATTTTCACCCCCTCAAGGGGTGATTTCCATGATAAAAAGTATCCTATGTCCTTCCCAGGGTCTCAAACTATCTTCTTACCAAATTTCATCTAAATCGGTTCAGTACATCCAGAGATTACCCCCTACAACGCCACGAAATCACAACTTTTACCTCTTTATAATATTAGTGTAGATTAATGTTTAAGACTAATATGTTGTTGAATCATTGCCTTATGCAATATTTATATATTTGGTTTGATATTTGATAGGAAAATATACCCTTAAAATATTTTTTCTCAGATCTTCTTTTAGTTAATTTTATATTGTATATTTTGTTGGTCGCATAAAACACGAGTAAGAACGATGTCTAACCAATGAAATTATTACAGAGCTCACGCGAGCAGCTAGCGATCGCCGCATTCGCGCAGTCGCTACTGGTGATACCTAAGACGTTGGCGGTGAACGCGGCGCGCGACGCCACCGACCTCGTCGCCAAGCTGCGGGCGTACCACAACTCCTCACAAACAAAGGTATGTATGAAAGAACATACTTTCTTATTATTATTTATTATATATTATTAGACATATAGATATCGGACGCGTCCGAGCGATGTTAGGGTAAATCACTAGTATTAGTATTCATAGTATTAATGAATGAAAATTTAATTTCAGGTTGAACACGCCAACCTTAAATGGGTAGGTTTGGACCTAGATGAAGGCGTTCTGCGCGATAACTTGGCAGCCGGTGTTTTAGAACCGGCGATGTCCAAAATCAAATCGCTTAAATTCGCAACTGAGGCCGCCATCACAATCCTTCGTATCGATGACATGATCAAACTAGACCCAGAACAAAAGGGAAAGAGCTACGAAGACGCGTGTAACGCTGGGGAACTTGATTAGTGTTAATTTAATTACATATAAGGAATTTCTTACGTCCAAAAATTATTATAAACCATTTTTATGTTATGACAATTCATGAAATTGCCTGTGAAAGGAATAGAACCTATTGCGACACTGCCAACTTTCCGCCATTTTCTAAAATGGCGGCGTACAATGTAACTGATATTTTAATATGGATACTTAAATAAATGAAAAATATCAACAATATGGTGTTTTAAAATGTCAGTTTTCAAAGTATTTGAAGGTAAACATCTTTATATGAAAATGATTAATGAGGAAATAATTATGTAAAAAAAAAAAAAAAACAAATCTATCCCTCGGGAACCGTACATTTTTCCAGAACAAAAGTAGCCTTTGTGCTATTCCAGACTAATCTATCTATGTGCAAATTTCATCGAGATCCGTTCAGCCGTTCTGGCGTGATTGAGTAACATACATCCATCCAAACTTTCACATTTATAATATTAGTAACATTATGTAATTATTTTGTTATATTTAAATAATAATTGTTTTAAAAATTCTCATATGGTGGTCTTTATCTGAATTATCTCGAAAACCGACTTCTAAGTGAACCATAGTGCTAATATTTGTTAATTTAAATTTCCCATAGCAATACATACCAATTACATATGGCGTCGTTACTCTGAAAACATGGCGGCGGATACATTCGAGCACCTTTATTAAAATGGTAAATAATTGTATTAGAAACCTAGTGATCTTGCATTCCGTACGAGATTGCCACAAATAACTTTAATTTTAAGATGTAAGAAAGTCTTTACTACCTTATATTAAATACCAGTGCTTTATTATTAAAAGTATTGAACACAATATTGTCAGAAATATTCAAAATGGAAGAGTAAAACTTTGTCACGCAAAAGTATTTTTTGATGAATAAATGGCCTTATTTTTTTGCTTTTGTTTGTTTAAACATACCTGTCATGGCTACAAAATATTGTTGAACATTATTACTAGTTAAAATGGTTTCTTTGAAAATAAAATATTTGGTTTTAAAAGAAGTATTTTATTATATTATCTTAATACATTTCGCATGGTTTTTTTTATTGGCAAAGATAACCATTTTAACTACTCTTTGTGTTTGAAAATTAATGGTTTTAGATTTTTAATTATGATATTTTTACTAAGTTCAGCTTACAAGCATAAGAATTAAAAACTAAAACTATTTTAAACATAACATTATTAATGTTGTAAGGTTCTTTAAATTATTGTAATTTCGGCTAATTTTATAAATACGAACTACAATAAAAATATTTTTTATTGCATTTCAAATGAAGAAAAAACAAAAATACTTAAAAAATGGCATGGACAAAGGTGTGTGAAGTGCAAAAATATGTAATAACTTTATCAATACTATGTTTAATTTCTTTGCTTATAACAAATGCTAGTTTATTTCGCTAGGGTTGTATGATGTATCACATGTACACATTAAATAATTTTTAATACAAAATTTGTTTTATTTTCTATATTACACTATCCAGCCAGATTAAAAATATCTAAAAGGAATTTAAAAAAAAACTACGATTTTTTTATAAACTGCAAGAAAAAATATCAGTGACGCAAATAATACGAAATTGACTTGTGTATCTTGCTGAAAGGTATATTCTGGTAAACTTTGACATGTATGGGTACTGACCACTAATTTTGATATACGTAATTATTTTATAAATATTTTAAATTTTGATAGCTTAAAATATGATTTGTTATGACACCGGAGCGTGTAGCAATATACTCTATGGGTGAAACTAAATAAAAGCTTGTAATAATTTTTATTTTTATCGACATAAAAAACGTGTCGTGTATGAATTATGTGTATTGAAATACCGGAAATAAATATCTTGAATATAGGCTAATTTTGTTTTTTTCATTCAGTATAGAATAGATACCTGATCAGGATATTTTCGAAGTCGATGTGCTTTGATTTGTGTCGGCTGGTATTTTTTCTAAGAAATTATTCTGTTTCTAGAAATTAAAAATAAAAAACAAGAAAAAGTTTAAAACCAAGTTTTGTGCAAATATGTCGAAAACTTTGGGGTTATTGTAAAAAGTGTTATTTATAAAAGTTATAGATTTTTACTAGACATATAACTTTAATTGTAGAAAACATTTTTCGATAGAACGTCACAATAAACCGGAAATTGAAAAAAACTATTTTTCAACGCTTTGCGTCCCCTCATCTCTCGGAGGTAGTTGGGCATCGAGGGCATTTTAAGAATTTCTATTTCTTGTATACCTGATAACATTTTAAAATCATAAAACTTCAGGTTTTCAATATATTTTTTTTATTAAAATTAAACGGATTCCGATTGGTCTACATGTTTTATTGTTTTAATACCTTTGAAATTAAACAACTTATCTCTGACAGCTGATATGTGATAACATAACAGTAATCTGTTGACTCATGACTGTTGTCAACCACAGATTAATCCGAGGTTGTCAACAAATTGGTAAAAAACCGCAGTTATTTAGAAATAAGCAACATGTTAAGTTTAAAAAATATTATACCTCCACTGTGTAGTTTAAGTGTTCCTCGTTTACTTTTGTCTACTGCTGCTCTACCCAAGGTTAGTAGGTATTTTTTTGACTAAATATAAATAAAACTTTATCTTTGTACATAATAATGAATCTATTATAGTTACACTTCAGAGGAGCAAGTTCGATTGAACGATGAAAATTGTTTTTAGGAAGACAAAATTAAAATAGGAAAATATGTTATAAGTTATATTAAAGTTGGCAATGGAGACCATAAAATATTTTGCGCTCCTGGTGCTTTAGGCACGAAATGGACTGATTTCAAACCGCAATTAGAAGGATTTAAGCATGATAAATTTACCTTGATTGCTTGGGATCCCCCAGGCTATGGACAGAGCTATCCACCAGAGCGGCAGTTTACTGATGGTTTCCTTGAAAATGATGCAGATGTTGCTCATGAATTTATGAAGGTGTGCACTGATAATATTACTGTAATTTGTATATAATAAATATATTATCTAAATTAATGTACTTACTCTACCTTGACATTGGCAAAGCAAATTCTGCTAAACTAGCAATATCCTTAAAAGCATTTAAAAAAAACAACTTCAATCTTATCGTCTACATTAACAATTTAATATAAAAGCAAATTTATTTAAATGACTTAATCTTATGTAAAATAAAATGGTAATCTATTTTTAATTTTATTTAATGTATAATTATATGTTCATTAAAAAGTTTGAATTTAAAGTTTTCATTTTATTAAGGTACTAGAAATACCAAAATATTCAATCATGGGATTCAGTGATGGTGGTATAACAAGTCTTATTTTAGCAGCCAAGTACCCACAAACTGTAAATAAACTGGTGGTATGGGGAGCAAACTCATTTATATTGCCCAGTGAGCAAGAAGCTTATAACAGTTAGTATTATATTACTTAAAAATAAAACTAATTTACTTTAAAGTGTACAAGGTGGTTACTGACTCGCAGATACTCGTTAATAACTAGTAAAATAAAATACAAAGCAAATATTTGTTTTTAGTTCTATTTCATGTTAAATAAATAATGCTTTTCACAATTCTTCATTATTTGAAGTTCTATTTTAGTATTTCATTTTCATGAACACATCAATTATGTAGTAAAAACCATTATTTCATCGAATAAGAAAATAATAAACAAACGCAGAGTGTTTGGATATTGAGCACACTATATAAATTTTTTTAAATTTTTATATTTCTTTTAATGTTTTTTTTACTATCTAAATCTCTTAATATTTTAGTTTATATCTTTATAATAAGACTAAGGCAGCATTTTACATACATATATATTTCATTTTCAGAAATAAAAGATGTAAATAAGTGGTCAAAACGAACAAGTGAGGCAATGATAGAAGTTTATGGTAAAGCTAGATTTGCTAACTATTGGGCAAATTGGGTAGAGGCTATGGACGAGATTTGTAAGACTAAAAATGGCAACGTATGTGCTGATTTGTTGAAGAATATTAAATGCCCCACATATATTTTATATGGAGAGAAGGATCCACTTGTTGACAAAGTGCATGTGTCACATTTACATACACAAATAGATGGATCAAGGTAATAATTTGTTATTTTACGTAAAATTTTTGCAATTAAATTATTCAAAGGCTCCGGTCGTGTACTTTGTCTATTTATATACATATATAAATCTAGCAGAAGTACAAAAAAAAACTAAAAAGGTAGTTTTAATACAAACTTTCATCCCCTATTTTCTCTCATATGGGATAAATTTCGAAAAATGCTAAAACACGTATTTATTTTATTGTATTGAAGAGCACTAACACCAAGTTTCAAGTCATTATCACCGGTAAAGTTCTAAGAAATTAATTAAATTTTTAAGAAATCTATTGTTAACTGTAACGCCGGCATGTCCGCGGTCGTGGAGGGATTATGATCATAAATATTTTTTTAGGTACTCCCGTGATAAAAAGTCTATGCCTATGTCACTCTCTTACCCTCGAACTATCTCCACACCAAAAATCACGCCAATCTGTCACTCTGTTTTGACGTTAAAGTAGGAGAAACAAACACAATTTCACATCCATATCCCTCCGTATTAATTTATTTTATAATATTATAAATGTGAAAGTTTCTGAGTATGGATGTTTGTTACTCTTTCACGCCAGAACGGCTGAACGGATCTGGATGAAATTTGGCACAGAGATAGATTATAGTCTGGAATAACACTTTTTATCCCGGAAACACGTACGGTCTCCGTGGATAGGTTTGTTTTTGTTTTCCTTTCTCCGGTCAACATTTTAGATACTTTTCATCCCAGAAAATTTAAGAGTTCCCATGGGATCGTTAAAAAACTATAGTAACTTATACAGCTTAGTACATAACAACTGCACCTAATTTAGTAAAATTTGGCATGTTGATACCTTATATTGCCAGTCAAACAACAGGCTACTTTTTATCCCAGGAAAAATGAACGGTACTCGTGGGATAGATGTGTTTGTGCTTCTCTAGAGGCGAACCCGAGCGAAAATTTAATAAGTTCTTAATACTTTTATATACTGTTCACACTTCACTCTTCTCCACAGTAGTGTGAATAATAATTAAGCTTGAATAATAAAAAGCAATACATAAAAGCTCCCCCCCAACGTGCGTTCACCTTGTCGTGGTGGGGGGGCTCAGTAGTGCCCGGCAATCCAACCGGGCGCGAAGCCAAGAAACGCACAGGGAGGTTGCCCACTTCGGTGGGCGGTGGGAGGTGGCCCTCTTCGGGGGGCGGTGTACCATGTGGGTTGCTCCTGGTACTTCTCTGTAGCAGAGTGGACTGTGGAGCAACCCCATGGTTGTGGTGGTCTGCTTCGGCAGACCTGCCGTCGGGGCGTCGTAGTTGAATGCGTAAGCGATCCTGCGTCGCCCCATTAAGACGGGGGAAGGTTTTGTTTAAAAGCTAATTTTATAGTGCTTTTTCCGTAATATGTAATTAAACCAATACTACATCTTTTAGAATACATCTGTATCCAGAAGGCAAGCATCAAATTCATCTTAGATACGCAGATGACTTTAACAAAAGAGTGCAGGAATTTTTATTGCAATGAAATCGTCGAATTATCTATCATATTCAAGTTTTTTTTGTAATTAATGTGATATCGTTTATATTGTTAAAAAGGTTTTATATTGTTAATTTTTAATAAAAAATTGATGAAACTTAATTTTGTTTTATTATTTTCTTGATCTTATCCCATCCAGACAGGTTCGACAATGTTCGCCCAAGGCCTTTGTAGACATACAGGTTTTATTCTTGCTACGTGTATGTACATGTCTCCGACAGCGTACTACCGTGTTCCTCCGTCAACTAAATCCCATCTTTTTAGATCATTTTTTAGGCAGTCTGGTTTTTTAACCGACTTCAAAAAACGAGGAGGTTCTCAATTTGTCGGAATCTTTTTTTATGTATGTTCACCTATTACGAAGACGCCTGACCTGATTTGTTTTTTTTTTGTTTCAAATGGTATTTTAAAAGGCGGTTTTTTAAAAAATCGACAATAAATTCTTTTTAATTAAATGTCATAGCCAAATATGTTATTAAAAATCGTTCTTTTTGCAAATTACCTGCATATTACGTCTACAATAAAAATGGAAAAATCAGTTTTTTTTTAAAATAACCGACTTCCAGGCACTAAAAAGTAAAAAATAACTAAACGGGGTTTTCATTTAGAATAGATGCCTTATCAGATGTTTTCGGATCGGTGCCAGCTGATAATACTTTAGAGATATGAATATTTAATAGATAAATATGACAATGTGTGAACTCTAATTATAGATCAATTTGTGATGTAGGTATTGTACGTAGCTATCGAAATACTGTTTAGATTTGCTTTGCATCGGCTGTCACCGACTTCCAAAATATCTGCTAAGGTATCTATTCTAAATGAAAACACCCGTTTAGTTATTGTTTAGGTACTTTTAGTGCCTGTAAGTCGGTTTTTATATATTTTAAAGTGTTTATTATCTATTTCTGTAAAATAATTTATGTTTACGTACGCCAAAATTTGACATGTGCTCGCTTGACGCCCGACCGATGACGTGCTGAACACGACTTTTAAGCCCCGCCTACTTGGACACTTTTTTATACGCAGTTACATTTTCTGACTTATTATTATTTATTCGTAGGTTTTAAATTATTATTTACACGTGAATTAGAGGTTTTAAGTTATAATTCTTTTAAATAGGATAATGCGTGTGATTTAAATCAAGGTGAAATTGAATGTATTTTCTTAATTTTGATTAAGAAAATACTTAATTATTAAAAAGTGCAAATATTGGTAGGAAATTCAAAGTAGATGAAACGCGACGCCATTGGTCAGACCGAATGTGACGTCAATAACAGAGTCAGTGCTGCCAATTTAGCGTTAAGACAAAATCGTTAAATTGGCAACACTGGCTTTGTTATTATAGACTAAGACGTCACTCTAAGCGCTCCAAAATGACGGGCGTTTAAACTTATAAGTATCCGTATCGGTAAGATATTTAAAAAAAATGATACTAAATTTTAGTTTTTTAGAGCTGGATATTTTTTCAAATTATGTAACAATGTAAGCTACTATATAAAAAAAACACGCATATTATTCCCTATTGTGAATCCTGTTCATACCATTAATTTTAAGCGAATGACTGTTTGATTGAAATATAATATTTTATTAAGGAAATAAAGGCTTTTACTACTCAACTCCATTTACTATTTAATATTTACTTACGTATAGTACCTACTTAAAAAAAGTATTTCTTAGATACTAGCGACTTACCCTCGCTTTGCTTTGTTACATCCCAAGGTGCCTATGTGTTACTTCAGGTCATAGCCTATCTGTGTAATAAATTTTGTTCAAATCCGTTCAGCCGTTTCAGCGTGAAGGAGTAACAAACATACACACATAAACACTTTCGCATTTATAATAGTAATGCCATATGTTGAAATATAATGTAAGATAATTTTTAAGGCTAAATAACTTTTCAGGTCCTATGCTTATCCTATGGGAAAACACGATATCCACATCCAATATGCTGATGATTTCAACCAGAAAGTTCAAGAGTTCTTACTTGAAAAATAAATAATAATAAATATACACTTAGGTATACTATATTATATATCTGTAGCTGGTGTAAATATACTGATGATCTAAATATTAATTTTCTAGTTTTTTTTTTTAAGTATTTAAAACAATTAAAATAAATGAAAATAGTAATTCTAACACAATTTGTTATATGAAGTCAAAAAACTTTTCAGGTCCTATGTTTATCCTATGGGAAAACACGATATCCACATGAAATATGTTGAAGATTTCAACCAGAGAGTTCAAGAGTTCTTACTTGAAAAATAAATAATAATAAATACACACTCGTATTATATCCGTGGCTGGCATAAATAAAATATCAATATTACAGGAGCATGTTTTTAAGGCTTTAAAAAAATACTGCGTTTCCTTTATTTTTCAATTTATAAATGTAGCGATATAGCAACACTAAATTAGATTATTTAATAGAGTATTAAAAAGTGTAAGAATTATAGTAATAGTAACTCGAATGCAATAATATTTAATATTCAATTATTTTACAATTTTACGGGTAGATACAGGATACTCTCTGAAACTTAACTCGTGACCATGGTTGCTGGAAAGCATTCGAAACGTTGACAACCAAAAACCAAAATAAATCCGCGAAAAAATCCGAAAAGACAGTTGTATTTAAAATGTAAAATATTTGCGTAAATCTTAAAAGTAATATATACTTATAATACGTTTTATATTTTTTGTTCATAAAAATACAATATTTTTTATAAAAAAAACTATTGGTATTTTTATGTAAAATTTTAAATAAACCTAAATTACTTTTATAGCAATACCAACTTTACCTACCAATATTTATTTTATTTTTCTAAGAAAAAAATAAAGATAATATTATTTCCGTAAACATGTCTATATTATGGGGAATGTAGGTATATTAAACTTATTGTAATGGCTTTCATCATGATATATTATATAAAATATTAAATAATGAATTATTCGTTATAAATTAAAACAGGTTAAATTTTACTTAATATATTATTTAAATAAATGAAATTAGTACTTACTCAATAGAAAAAAGAGCGCGTGTTACCTTTATAGATAGAGATACCGCAATTAAAATAAAAATTTAAATTTAAAAAATTACCTACGCAAATTAATTGTCATTTAAGGATTAGATCGGCACGTGAAGCACTTAATCGAGTAATAATACGCCAAAATGCCTTACATCATTTTGGAAAATAGCTACATACTCTTACACTTCCGGACCGATATTAACTAAACATAGCTAAGAACCACCGCAAGGAAACTGGCTTTGAAATGAAAAAAACCACATCAAGATCGGTCCATCCGTTTGAGAGCTACGATGCCACAGAGACACACACACAGAGAAAGACAGACAGACATCAACGTCAAACTTTTAATAAAATATTTTTTTTTAATAAAATTATTAGTAACTAGCGATTTACCGTCGCTTCGCTCGGGTGCGTTTTGAATAAAGGTAAATTGTTATTGCGAGTTTACCTTATGAGATAGATTTATGTTATTGCAGATTTTTTAAGACCTACATTTTTGTAGTACACTGTTTTGATGTATCTCTTAAGGTTAAGCGAGCGTTAGACATCTCTGAGGACTACTCGAAAGAATCAATTACGATGTTTTCCCGTGGGAATGAAAGATTTTCCTGTAGTAACAGGTATCCTTAATATTGACCCCAGTAATAAGTTAGCACTAGTTTTTATTACTTCTAAAAATTTGGTATTCTTGTAAATAATTGCATGACCTACATATTTTGTCATATTTATTTTTATGATAATGCTTATCGTTATTCGTTAACCAGAAAAATGTAACACCCGATACTTTTGACTTTGAAAAAGAATAAATTTTTTAGCAGATAGGTACGAGATGATAGAGGAGAACTTTTGGTATTTTAATTTTTAATAGTCTACCTAAGACCTGTACCAACTTTTAGCTCTATGCGAATTATTGTAAACCTACCCCTATTTTCTTTCTATTTTGACCGCTTCTAAGTACCAATTGATTAATTATTATTTATTGGAGTGAACGTGATCACATATATTTCTCGTGTTTGTGACGGCGAAATCATATACTGTGATCAACAGGTTGTGCGCGGACGTATACAATATTATATATAGTGAAATACAGTGAGCATGTATGTATGTATGTACTTAAAATATCCTTCTCTAATTATAATAACTGTTGATGCATTTCTGCATTTGAATTATGATTTTAACGTGAGTATATTTCAATCTTCTACCTTAGTATAAGTACCTATACATAAAAATTTAAGAAATAAATAAAATCCGGCTTCTGGACAGTAAAATTCGACGATACGTTTGGCTCAGTTTGTAGTGACCCTGCTTGCTGTGCCAACGGTCGCGGGTTCGAGTCCCGCTGAAGGCATTCATTTGTGTGATGAGCATGAATGTTTGTACTCCAGTCATGGGTGTTTATATTTATAATATGTATGTATTTAAAGTTCAACTATCTGGTATCCATCACACAGGCCTCGTAGCTTACCATGGAACTAGATGGTGCTGTGTGTTAATGTCCCAAAAAAAATAGTATTAACTGAACATTTTCCTTTAGATACTATAGATACTTATTCAGATATTTTTAAAGTTGGTGTAAGCCATTGGAAGGCAAAGCAAATCTATTTCGATTCGTATAAAAAATGAATATATCAAAAACTATATAATAGTAAATAGTTAGAATTTTATTCTAATTTATACTTACATTAGAATAAAATTCTGAGTCGAATTCTAACCGAATCTATAGTTTTTAGAATTTTTTTCTGTCTGTCTGTCTGAGAACGCATCACGGGAAATCCACTGGGCAGATTTTGATGAAATTTGGTATGATAGTTAATTATCCGAGTCTACACATATGATACTTTTTATTGCGGAAAAATATATCACCTCTGAGTAACCGTTAAAACGTACCTAAGGACAGATCCCTAGTATTTTAGATATAATTATAGTTACAATTTACCTACTAGATATTGATATTTTAAAGCATTGTCGGTTAGTTAAGTAAAGCAACTGAATTGAGAACACTGAACACCTCCTTTTTTTGAAATCGGTTACTAATTTGTACATACTAATCTACAATATGGCCTTAGATAGTAGCCTAAATAAGGATTTGTAATTTTTATTGTAATTATTTACAGAATAACTGGGCTCGGTGTTATTTTCTTTTATTTCGAATAGAAGTTAATTTAAGGAGGCTTACAAAATCTAAGAAAATGATAACGAAATATGCCTTACGACATTTTATGAAAGCTGTTAATTCGTCTGTCACCCCTAAAGTGCATCAGGTATTGTACACATACTGATACTTCTATTATTAATAAATGCATGTATATATATGCATGCATGTGTATATATATATATATATATATATATATATATATATATATATATATATATATACATACATTTATAAATAAATAAAAAGAAAAAATATGTAAGCAACCGCAAGGAACAAGTTCCGTCATTTTTTTTTTCTATTTACACTAAACGTATTACGCTCAATGAAGAAATTTTACTTAACTTTTAGTCTTACACTGCCACGGATCATATAATAATGTACTATTACTGCTTAAAGAAAAGTTTCTATATTTATAAACTTAATACGAAATTTCAATAAAAATACTAATTCCGAAACCTTCCAAAATATTCTCTCATTTTTAGAGTTCTGTACCTCAAAAATGAAAAAGGAACCCTTATAGGATCACTTCGTTGTCCGTATGTCTGTCTATCTGTCTGTCAAACCCTATTTCTCTGGAACGCGTGAAGGTATTAAGCTGAAATAGATACATACCGAATGCAAACAGACTAGAGTCTCTAGTAAAGCTGAGAAAAAATCAAACTTCTAAGTCAACGCCATCAAAAAGATGGTTTTCAAAAAGTTTAATTAAACTTATCAAAAGCAAGAATAAATATCATACACTTTTCAAAATTTACAATAATCCAAGAGACTATGATACTTTTGCTCTCCTAAGAACAAGAGTTAAACAACAAACTGAAATATGTTTTAGGTCTTATATATCAAATATAGAAAATAATTTAATTAAAAATATTAAAACTTTTTATCTTTACACTAAAAATAAGAGAGTAACTAATAATATCCCTAAACAGCTGCATTTTAATAATAGAGTAGCTGAATCTGGTATTGATATTACTAATCTTTTTGCTGAATATTTTTCAACTGTTTATGGAAATATTCTTCTTCTTCTTCTCCCTGCCCATTTCCCAATCACTTGGGGTCGGCGCAGTACATCTTCAGTGTACTGCTGATAGGATTTGGCAAAAGTTTTACGACCGGCCGCCTGCCTGACGTCAACCCTCCTTGGGAATGCTATTGTCTTGGAAATATATCATCTATTAATTATACACCAAAATTCCCTCCATCTATTTTTTCTATAAGTAATTTACAATTTTCCGCAGACGCAGTTGAACTTCAACTCAAATCAATTAATATTTCTAAAGGATCGGGCTCTGATGGTATTCCACCAATTTTTATAAAAATTTGTTCTTCTTCATTATCAAAACCATTAACAATCATTTATAATAAATCAGTTTTAAATGGTATATTTCCATCTTTATGGAAAATTGCTAAAATCACCCCTATTTATAAATCAGGCGATAAGAGTGATGTCAGAAATTATCGACCAATTTCTATCTTAAACTGCTTTGCTAAAATTTTTGAAACTATGATCTATAAACAACTGTACAGTCATATAAAACCACATCTTAACATTAAACAACATGGTTTCGTATCTGGTTGCTCCACAACTTCCAATTTATTAGTTTATACCACTTTTTTATGTGAATCATTTGATACAAAGACTCAAGTAGGTTCAATATATCTTGATTTCTCCAAGGCGTTTGATCGAGTAAATCACACAATACTATTATCTAAGGCTAGCCATCTGGGCATACATGGTAATCTTTATCGTTGGCTATACTCTTATCTGGATAGCCGTTCTCAATTAGTAGCTCTATACGGGTATGAATCATTTCCATTTCTAGCCACCTCTGGTGTACCACAAGGATCTATTTTAGGCCCTTTGTTATTTTTGATATTTATCAATGACCTACTGTCTTTGATAAATAGTGAATGCCTCGCATATGCTGATGATATAAAAATCTTTTTCCAAGTCACTAAAAGAGAAGATTGTAAAATTCTTCAGCGTGATCTCGACTCTATCCGAATGTGGTGTGATGAAAATTTGATGGAGCTTAATAAAAATAAATGTTATATCATTTCATTTACAAAAAATAAAGCTCCAATATCGTTCGACTACAACATAGCAGGTACCGTTATTTGTAGAGTCAAAGTAGTATGGGACCTAGGTGTTATATTTGATTCAACCTTATCTTTTAGGCCTCATATAGATTACATTACAAGTAAAGCAAATAGATCACTCGGTTTTATCATCCGAACTGCCCAACCTTTCAAAAATTCAATCTCGTGGATAGTTTTGTATGTCACTATAGTAAGAAGCATACTTGAATACTGCTCTTCCGTATGGAAACCAATATATGATATTCACATTAACAGAATCGAGGCTATACAACGTAAATTTCTAAAAATATTAAGCAGGCGGCAAGGTCTCAGGCGTGAATTACCAACACACACTGACAGACTTCATAAATACAAACTAAAAAGCCTGGAAGATCGGCGTGTTATATCAGATTTATGTATCCTCCATAAAATAGCCAATGGCGATTTCAACAGTAAATTACTAGAAAAACTGGAATTTAAAATTCATACTCACTCGATTCGTCAGCCACAACTTTTTAATATACCTTCGGCAACTAATAACGTTTCAACCCGTACTTGGCCAGCGTGGTGGACTATGGCCTGATCCCCCTCGTATTGAAGGGAGGCCCGTGCCCAGCAGTGGGACGTTAAAAAGGGAATAAACACACCTACCAAAGATACACTACCTATTATATTTCGCTCATATTGTTGTGTTTTTTTTTTGAAATTCTGATTCCGATGACAATTAGTCTCTAAAGTAGGAACTCACCATTTTGTTTAAGGAGTACAAAATGAAAATTGGAAACCACAATATAAATTATGCGAAATTTGGACACGGACCTCATTGTATCGTCTGTATACCAGGCGCGTTAGGAACTATAACCTCGCATTACAAGGACCAAATAGATGGGTTTGATAAAGAGAAATTTACAATAGTGTCGTTCGACCCCGTCGGGTTCGGAAAAAGCTATCCCCTGGAAAAAATATTTGTTAAATCAAATTATGAACAGGACGCGGACACAGCTTACGAACTTATGAAGGTAAGTTGCAGCAACATTATTTTTTTTTGTCGATGTTATCGAATGGTGTTGATAACATAAAAAAGAGGTTTTTTTTGTAAATTGTACGCGGGCGCAGCTGCGTGACACTTAATTGTATCGGGAACCCGATTTTAAAAATCTTATTTCATCAACTTACCTTAACGATCATTACGATTTATAAGTTTTTTAAAAGTTGAACGGTTTTTCATCTAGGTTATGGGATGAATAGTCTAACTTGCAGTTAAGGAATCATGGCGTTAATTGCATTTATTGCTTTAAAATAAAAATAATTCAATTTTTGGACCCAAAATATATAGTAACGATGAGAAAGGTTAGTTGATTGGCCGGATATCCGGCTGCAACATGTTTAGCCTATTGTCACTTTACATATTGAGAAAAGTTTAAAACTGCACGGGTACTTCGCTCGCTATTAGATGAATGTGGAATTTGGAAGTATTCAGGTGCCATCGTGACTTTATTAGCTTAATTTCAAGTCGAAGCCTTATCAAAATTTGCCAGAGTGTAGCTTTTATGAAATTGCTGCCATTATAAGTCAATTTTGTACTATTTACTACACAAATATTTCTTGTTTTGCAGTTTTTCAAAGTAAAAAATCATAGTTTTTAAATATCCAATATTAGTCCGGATAGCAAAATAAGGCCGGATACCGGACAGTTACCTGATATCTGTTTCATCTTTAACTTTAATTTATTCTCTCTAGATCTAGGGTAGTCAGTTTTCCCTATCACGTAGTGTGCAGCGCATTGTCCCCATCAATATTCATAAAAGAAAAAAATAATACATCTTAATTGTTTTATATAATTATATATTGTAACACAATGTCTAGGATAGCATCCTTTGGCTAGCATGTACAGCTGCAGATCGTTAAGTGTTGGGTTCGAGTACCAGGTCAGGCCAAGAATTATTTTATTAGGCCTTGGGGTATAAGCGATTTGCCTATAAGCGATATTTTTCAGTAGCCCATAGTTGGTAAAGTTATCGGTTTTACATCCAGTAGGTCGTGTACCTCTACTAGCTCGGATTGTCCATTCGCGAACCGAAAGATGTTATTTCGACGACAAAATACGCAATGAAAGCAAATAGATTTACTAAATGACCATGTAGATATGACTAACACAGAGAACATAATCACGTATAGATCTGTTATCAAACATCAGTCTAGTCCAACAAGAAAGACACGCACAACAATACGAAACTACCGGTGGGAAATCAGGTGCCAAACCGATAGCTTTACGTACTGTTCGAAAACACGGTAGTAAAAGTAAAAATACCGCCAAATTTTCAACTCTTTGCTGTTAATGTGAGTATCTTGATATGGAAACTCAATAACTAAACCCGGGACTCGAACCCTACCCCACATTTGCCGGATCTGGAACCGTACAGGCTAGCCACTAGAACGCCGAGACATTATATAGTCGAGAAGGGTATTAGTACCTACATAAATAAATAATGAAATTATTTTCAGCGTTTAAACATACCTAAATATTCATGTTTGGGATGGAGCGCGGGAGGCGCGGCCAGTTTGATACTTGCTGGAAAATATCCACATGCAATACATAAATTAGTTGTTTGGGGAACTAATGCATTTGTTCTTGAAGAAGATATTGCAAATTATAGAAGTACGTATTAGCTTTAATTTTTATATATGTATTACTAGCCTTACCCGCTTCTCCGCCCGCGTTCAGATGACTAAAAACCAAAATCTTAGGTTTTACATATTAGTATACTCTTACATTGCAGTTTTTGTATTTTTTCTCAGAAATGAGATATTTTCCCGCGGTAAAAAGTATCCTATATGTTGACCCGGATAACCAGCTATCACCATACCAAATTTCATCAAAATCCCTCCAGTGGTTTTTTTGTGATGCGGTAACAGACAGACAGACAGAAAAAAAATCTGAAAACTATAGATTCGGCCTCTGTATCGATATAATAATGTTTATTTCAATAAGATTTTCTAAAAAATATTTAATGTATAGATTCGGCTTAGTTACAATTTTATTGTATGTATAGATTATTACATTGACGGCAGTGTATAATTTATATAGATATACTAGCGACTCACCCTCGCTCCACTCGAGTGAAAAGTCTCTAGTGAAAATTTAGGTTTGTATGTTTTTAATGCCGAATCATAAAAAAATTCAAATAAAATTTTTTGTCCACGAAATAAAAAAAAACTTTTTGAGTCACCATCCTTATCACTTGACACTTAGGGGGTATGAAAAATAGTTTACGTTCGATTCTTAGACCTATTAAATATACACACAATATTTCATAAGAATAGGCCAAACCGTTTCGGAGGAGTTTTATTACAAACACTGTGACATGAGAATTTTATATATCAGAAGATATAGACCGAGCCAAGGTATTGTATATCTACAGAAGATAAAAATTGCACTTGAACATATACACCTGAACTTTTTGTTGACTGTTAAGTACTGAGTTGAGGACATTATTGTTAAGTACAGTAATTAACAATAATGTTCTCAGTACTGTCTACTGCTACCGTTCTTTCAAAAACAACCACCAAAGAAGTCTTAGTTCTTTTTAACGTCCCACTGCTGAGCACGGGCCCCCCTTTAATACGAGGGGGATCAGGCCGCAGTCCACCACGCTGACCAAGTGCGGGTTGGTGGACTTCACATGTCTTTTCTTGTTGTCTTTTGAAAACTTGCTAGGTTCTCTCAGATATGCAGGTTTCCTCACAATGTTTTCCTTCACCGTAAAGACAAGTAGTGATCATGTTGGAAATGATTCACACATGAAAATATCAGAGGTGCGAGACCCGGGATTTGAACTCGGTTCACTCGGTTTCCCAAGCGAGCGCGTTACCATTGAGCTACCACTATTGTGTGAAAAGTCTAATTAAGGCCAATAGACATCATATAATATATACCATAATATTTTTAATTTAGAAATTCAAGATGTGGAGAGGTGGAGCACGCACATCTTGAAGCAAAGAATGATTGAAACGTATGGCAAAGAAAAGTTTGCTCAGTATTGGTATAAGTGGGTGGGACAAATGGCAGACGTTTTGGAAGCTGATCCAGATATATGCAAAGATTTATTGAAAAATATTTCATGTCCCACATTCATATTGCATGGAGAAAGGGACGCCATAGCGCACATCTCACATGTTGCATTTTTATGTAATCATATAAAGAATGCAAAGTAAGTATAACTTCGTCGCATTATAATCAGTATAAAAAAAATATAACCGATTTCCTGACACTAAAAAGTGAAAAATAACTAAACGAGGGTTTTCATTTAGAATAGATACCTAAGCAGATATTTTCAAAGTCGGTGTGCTCTAATTTGTATCGGCTGGCAGTCAGGAGTAGACCTCCATAAATGTAACAGAAGATTCCTACTACCTACCTGTGTTAGTAGTATTTTTATTTAGGTTAAAGTATTTTTAATACAATTTAAATAAATGGAAATAGTAATTCTAACACAATTTGTTATATGAAGTCAAAAAACTTTTCAGGTCCTATGTTTATCCTATGGGAAAACACGATATCCACATGCAATATGTTGAAGATTTCAACCAGAGAGTTCAAGAGTTCTTACTTGAAAAATAACAAAAAAATATACTAGTGCTATATTTAGTATAGTTTAAACTTATACTTTGAAAATAAATTATCTAATAAAGGGCTTTAATTTAGTTTACATATACAAACCTTTCTATTTTTATTATTATTTTTGTTTTTAACTACATCAAAACAATGTATGTACTAGAAAATTCTACGTCTTAAAAAGATTTACTGAAAAGTCAATAGCATGAGTGTATCACCTAAGGTACACACGCAATAACTATTTTTATCTAAGTATTTAAAACGTACCCGCACCCGAGCAAAACCAGAGTAAGTCGCTAGTTAATCTCTCAAAAAAATTTGATCGATGTAGGTACCTAATAAAGTTGTTCATTTAACTTAATATAAATTAAGTAATTAAGATAACAGACATCTATCTCGTAGATTTCTGTTGATGAAAAAAAATCGTAGGTACTTATTTAAAATATATTTTTATAATTATATTAATTTTTGAATACCAAAGAATTGTTTTTAAATTAAGTATTTCATGAAAACCCGTTTCGTCATAGAATGCACCTATGAAATGAAATGAAAAATTAAATTTTGTACAAGCACTTTTGAATCGTCAATTTATTTTAAAGAGCGTCAGTGTAGTCAGTCCGTAAAAAAAACTATCACCGGCTTGGAAAGCAGTTCTGTCGAGAACAAACGGCGAAGAACTCAACAATTGCTCTTTTTAACCAACTTCCGAAAACGAGGAGGTTCTCAATTCGTCGGAATCTTTTTTTTATGTATGTTCACCGATTACTCGAAGATGCCTAAACCGATTTGGAAATTTTTTGTTTTGTTTGAAAGGGTGTACTTCCCAGGTGGTCCCATATAAATTTTATCGAAATCGGTCGAGCGATTTTTAAAAATATCAACAATAAATATATTTTTTTAAACAAATTGTTTAATCGAATATGTTATTAAAAACTTTCTTCCTACAAATTACCTGCTTATTACATCTACACTAAAAATATAAAAATACAAACTTTAAAAAAAACCGCCTTCCAAGCACTAAAATGTAAAAAATAACTAAACGGGGGTTTTCATTTAGAATAGATACCTAATCAGATATTTTCGTAGTCGGTGCCAGCGGACAATATTTTAAGATATGAATATCTAATAGGTATATATGTATTTTACTTATCAAAATATATTAGATTTCCTATGCGTCGGCTGGCACCGACTTCGAAAATATCTGATTAGGTATTTATTCTAAATGAAAACCCCCGTTTAGTTATTTTTTACATTTTAGTGCCTGGAAGTGGGTTTTTTTCTTAGTTTTTTAAATATTATCGATTTACATTTTATTTATTTTATAGATAGCCGGACTATCTACATATAATGTAAGTCGATCCTAGCCTCCCCATATGTGTCAACAATATAAATATGTATGTATTATTCCACAGATTTCTATCAACAAGGAATTCTTGAACAGAGTAATACCTACCTATATACATTGAAATAATTTTAAATTTTATATTTAAATTGTTGAAAAGTTAAATCTAAAACAGTTTGTGGAATTTTATTATAGCAACATATATGCGTATACTCACGGCCAGACAATCCTGAAGGATTTCTTCATCTTTTGTAGTCAAAATTTGGGCGTAACAAGTTTATTTCTATTCCTAGTGTTTATTGTGTGTCTATCACTGTTTTTTCAAATGAATATTTATAAATTGTGATGCAACCGTTAGAATACCAATTTTATCGAAAACATCTCGCAAGGAATCACGAGCCCTTAGGTCTTAAACAGCCCGTAGTTTTTTTTATGAAGAATTAATATCAAATTAATTTCCGCGGCACTGCCTCAAAAAAGTATCCCCGAAGATAAAATAATATAAAATGTACATGTACATGTAAGTCGGGCAGTGTTATGTCCAATAAGTTTCGAACTTTCTTAATTGCAAAAACGAGAGTGTTAAACGATGGTGCCACTACAGCTAAGAGACTATTGTCATGCATAAAAATACTGCCGATTCAGTTATTTCTAGTGTTTCATTATTCAGAATCGGACTAGAATTCTGGTTTTTTACATTAGGAAATATAAATTCAACACAATTTGTTTTCTTATCATTTAATACTAAGTTGTTTACATCAAACCAGCGAAGTATATGCGACAATGCATTGTTTACTTCGTCATAATTTGGTTTATTAAAAACGACTTTAAAAAGATATCATCAGCAAAGAGATAGCACATAATTTCTTTTTGTAGGAAGATAGATCATGAATATATATTAAAAATAAAAATGGGTCAAGAATAGATCCTTGTGTAAAGCTCAACAAAGTTGTATTTAAAATGTAAAATATTCGCGTAAATCTAAAAAGTAATATATACTTATGATACGTTTTATATTTCTTGTTCATAAAAATACAATATTTTTTATAAAATAACTATTGGTATTTTTATGTAAAATTTTAAATAAACATAAATTACTTTTATAGCAATATCAACTTTACCTACCAATATTTATTTTATTTTTCTAAGAAAAAAATAAAGATAATATTATTGCCGTAAAGACACACACACACAGAGACAGACAGACAGACATCAACGTCAAACTTATACACTCCTCTTTTTGCGTCGGGGGTTAACAAATCAACATAAAATAATTTTAATAAAATTATTAGTAACTAGCGATTTACCGTCGCTTCGCTCGGGTGCGTTTTGAATGAAGGTAAATTGTTATTGCGAGTTTACCTTATAAGATAGATTTATGTTATTGCAGATTTTTTAAGACCTACATTTTTGTAGTACACTGTTTTGATGTATCTCAGCGTTAGACATTTAAATCTCTGAGGACGACTCGACAGAATCAATTACGATGTTTTCCCGTGGGAATGAAAGATTTTCCTGTAGTAACAGGTATCCTTAATATTGACCCCAGTAATAAGTTAGCACTAGTTTTTATTACTTCTAAAAATTTGGTATAGGTGAAATCAAAAATCGAAATTCAAGTTTCATTCTTGTAAATAATTGCATGACCTACATTTTTTGTCAAATTTATTTTTATGATAATACTTATCGTTATTCGTTAACCAGAAAAATGTAAAACCCGATACTTTTGACTTTGAAAAAGAATAAATTTTTTAGTAGATAGGTACGAGATGATAGAGGAGAACTTTTGGTATATTAATTTGTAATAGTCTACCTGTACCAACCCTAAGACCTGTACCAACTTTTAGCTCTATGCGAATTATTGTAAACCTACCCCTATTTTCTTTCTATTTTGACCGCTTCTAAGTACCAATTGATTAATTATTATTTATTGGAGTGAACGCGATCACATATATTTCTCGTGTTTGTGACGGCGAAATCATATACTGTGATCAACAGGTTGTGCGCGGACGTATACAATATTATATATAGTGAAATACAGTGAGCATGTATGTATATATGTATGTATGTACTTAAAATATCCTTCTCTAATTATAATTAATGGAAGTACCTACTGTTAACTGCTGTTGATGCATTTCTGCATTTGAATTATGATTTTAACGTGAGTATATTTCAATCTTCTACCTTAGTATAAGTATTATAGTATATAGTATATATATACAAATTTAAGAAATAAATAAAATCCGGCTTCTGGACAGTAAAATTCGACGATACGTTTGGCTCAGTTTGTAGTGACCCTGCTTGCTGTGCCAACGGCCGCGAGTTCGAGTCCCGCCGAACAAACAGATTCATCCATACTGATAACCTGAAAAGACAAAATCGAATTAATAATTCCTTCATTATTTTACCGTGAGTATACCCCCATGAAAAAAATATATTAAAGAAATAAATGTCAAAATGTATAAAAAATATATTATAAATATATTAAAAATCTATACTATATTTTTGAAAAAAGCTGATATTTTGACGGGTGAATTTTCGTTTGAAAATTAGGGTGCTTTTTCGATATTAATTCAAAATAAGGTGAAAAAATAAATATTTTAATCAAATAAATTACAGCGTATTTGGGACATAAAAAGGTAAGTTTTCACCAAATTTCGTTAAAACAAAAACATTTTTGTAAAAGATAAAAAGAAAAAACAAAAAACTTGGTTTTTTGAATTTTTCACATAAATTTTGAGGTTATGTGAAAAAAGTGTAAATACAAAAGTTTTAGATCTTTTTATTACCTACAGCTTTGCCATTTGATTTTTTTCGATAGGACTTTTAGTTTTGCCGGAAATCGAGAAAAACCGTTTTTTACCCTTAAAAGCTCCCCCCCACCCCCTTCCCGACCTCAGATCGCCCGTAAATTATTTTTCCTTTCATTTTTATAATATTCCCCTCCTTTTCTAATGGGTTGAATCCTACTATTATTTTTTTTCACTTTTTATTATTTTTAAAGCCTTCTACCCTGGTCTAATATGGGAATATAGCAAATGAAAACTATCAATCAGGTATTTTTTATTTTTTATGTGTTTTTTGAAGTTGGTTTTTTTTAGTTTTTATTTTTCCCTTTTTAGTATAGACACAAATCAAACAAAATAAGCCCAAACTCAAAGTATCTTCTATTAGCCGTTGAAAAGTTCCACCTATCTACCATATAGCCTACCATATACCGTTAGATCAGGTCGACGATACCGAACCACTGCACTATCAACGGAAATAGAAACACTTGTAAAGTTTCAAGGTAATATGACAGTTAGGAGTAGGTTAAATTCATCATTAGTTATTTTTCCACCCTTAGGGTTGGTATTTTTTTTTTAAAGTATACACTTTCAAACAAAACAAAATTGTCCAAATCGGTTAAAAAAAGACGAAGTTCTGAGGTAACAAAAATAAAAAAAAATACAGCCGAATTGAAAACCTGCTCCGTTTTGAAGAAGTCGGTTGAAAATATCTAAATGGACAAAATATATAAAAAGTCTTATTAAATGAAAAAATAGTTTAGATAAATAAAAAATCCGACTGCTTTAAACACGAACTAACGAGATGGGAACAAGTTGACGAAGAAACATGGTTTTATGCATGGTTTTATGTATGTATGTATATCTCCGACTGCATAATACCTACCATGTTCCTTCAACTAATTCGCTTTTTAAACAGTCGATTTTTATTTATGTCAATTAAGTGATGTACATAAAGACACCATTAGGCATTAACGTTAATCAAGCAAGACTAATAATTCTTTTTATTTTGGATATATTTTTATTCCTAAATGTGATAATTATAAATCTTCGAAATTATGACCATTTTAAGAAAGTTTGAGGCATTTTAATGAATCTGAACAGTACAGTAAAGACTCTAATATTACTGTAGTTTGTAACTGTGAAAATATAAAACAAAATGTGTGTGTATGCACAGAAGTTATAATTATTTGTTTTTTTTTAACATCTACGTAAAAGCTTTTTTTTGTCTTTTCGTTAATTTGATATTCATATCATGAGGGTACATAAAAAACATAGTCTATAATAACAACGTGTGTGCTAAATTTCAGCTCAATCGGACACTGCGAAGTGGGTCACACTTAACTTGCAAGATTTGATTACAGACAGACACCGGGATAGGTGAAATTAAATAAAAGCTTGTAATCATTTTTATTTTTATAGATATAAAACACGTATCGTGTATATAGAAATACCGGAATAAATATCTTGAATATAGACATCACTTCACACTATACTAAAGGTAGATACTGTAGTCTAAATCACTCTCAAAAAATCACTCTCATCATTTTTTTCCTACGCCCCAAAAAGCATATGTAACTTCAAACAGCACACAAGTTTCAGGTCAAGACAACTGGTCAAAATAGACATTTAAATCCATGCTAATATTATAAATGTGAAAGTGTGTTTGTTTGTTTGTTTGTCCTTCTTTCACGTCGAAACGGAGTGACGGATTGGCATGATTTTTTATGTGGAGATAGTTGGAGGGCTGGAGAGTGATATAGGCTACTTTTTACTTATTACAGATTATTTAATTCCCACGGGAAAATACGTTATAATACAAAAAAAAAATTTATGATCAGAATTTCTTGGAACTTGGTATTAATGCTCTTCAATGAAATTAAATAAATACGTGTTTTAGTATTTTTCGAAATTCACCCTATAAATGGGTATAATAGGGATGAAAGTTTATATGAAACTACTTTTTTAGAGACTTTTTTGTAGTTTTAGCGCGAGCGAAGCCGCGGGCTCTGCTAGTTTATTATAATTCGCTAAGAGCTGAAAATTGGTATAGGTGAAATCAAAAATCCCCACTGATTCTATATCTGCTCAAAATTTATTCAAATTCCATTTGTGTAAATAATTGCATGACCTACGATACGATAGGTACGAGTATAGGATAGAGGGGAATTTTTGGTATTTAATATAATGAACGTGATCACATATATTTCTCGTGTTTGTGAAAGCGACATCATATAGTGTGATCAATAGCTTGTGTGCGGACGTAAAATACAATTAGCATATATATACATATTATGTATTGTATTTAAAATATCCTTCTCTAATCATAATTACTGGTCGTACTGTTAACTGCTGTTGATGGTATACCGCATTTCTGCATTTGATTTTAACGTGAGTATATTTCAATCTTCTATCTTGGTATAATAAGTTGTACATACTAATCTACAGTATGGTATTAGATAGTAGCCTAAATAAGGATTTGTAATTTTTAAGGAGTTAAAAAAGACCGATACTTTTTATGTAGGTAGAAAGTGTTGAAAAACATCCAACTAAAAATAAATAAATATTATTTTTTGTATAATATCATTAGCTTTAAATAACAGCCGTCAGTATCGTTTAAACGTTTAGTTGCTAATTCAGAGGGAGTTGATTGTACCTAATTATTTACAGAATAAATGGGCTTGGCGTTATTTTCTTTTATTTCAGATAAAAGCTTATTTACGGAGGCTTACAAAATCTAAGAAAATGATAACGAAATTTGCCATACGACATTTTACGAAAGCTGTTAATTCGCCTGTCACCTCAAAACTGTATCAGGTATTGTATACTTACATCATTAGGTACCTTATATATATATATATATATATATATATATATATATATATATATATATATATATATATATATAAGATAATATAAAAAAATATGTTAGCAACCAAATTTTTCTATTTAGGTACACTTAACGTTTTCTTGTAGGAATTTTACTTCAACTGTTTAAATAAAAGTTTCTTAGCTTTGTATATTTTCACATACAAATTATATATTATTTTTTTGTTTTGTTGGGTATGTGTCAGGGGTAGTTTAAGTATAAAAAAATAGGGAAACCCAAAAAAAATAGCTGAAAAATTTAAATGTTCAGAACTGTTTATTTTGTACTTATGTATATATAGGCTATCTATTCCATTCGTACCGTTAAACGTAAGGGAAGAACCGAGCGAAACCAGGGTGAGTCACTGATTTAATATAAACTTAATACGAATTTTTAATACAAATACTAATTCCGAAAACTTCCGAAATATCCTTTTTTTTAGAGTTTTGAGGCATCGAAAGGAAAAAGGAACAAGGAACCCTTATAGGATCACTTCGTTGTCCCTCTGTCTGTGTGTTAAGACCCTATTTCTCTGGAACGCGTGGAGGTATTAAGTTAAAATAAAGCTGTGAAAAATTCAAACTTCTAAGTCAACACCATCAAAAGATACGGTCGTTTATGCCCCACACTCACAAGGAAATCAAAACCAATAGAGACCAAGAATCATAAAATTTAGCGATATCTTGTAGCGCAAGTAAAGGGAAAAAACCGAAAATCTGTGTGTAGTGTCAGAACAAAAAAAAATGTTGTGATTATAAAAATAAAAAAAAATGTTGTGATTAGAAAAATTCTCGGTGTCAATCAGACCCGCACTAAAATACACTGAACAAAATTCACTGTGTATCGCTTGATTTTTTAATAAAATTTTTTACAAACATTATACTAGTGTTCCTATGATATTCCACTCATATTGTTGTGCTATTTTTGAATCTCCAATTACAATTAGTCTATAAAGTAGGAACTCACCATTTTCTTTAATTTAAGGAATACAAAATGAAAATTGGAAACCACAATATAAATTACGCGAAATTTGGAAACGGACCTCATTGTATCGTTTGTATACCAGGCGGGTTAGGAACTATAACCTCGCATTACAAGGACCAAATAGATGGGTTTGATAAAGAGAAATTTACTATAGTGTCGTTTGATCCTTTCGGGTACGGAAAAAGCTACCCCCCGGAAAGAATATTTGGTAAATCAAATTATGAACAGGACGCGGACACAGCTTATGAACTTATGAAGGTAAGTTAGTTGCAGCAACATACATTTTATTTTATCGATTTTATCGAATAGTGTTAATAACCAAAAGTCGCAACTAAAATTAAATAAAAACTATATTTTTATACTTAGGTATATTATCTTTTATGACACTTAATTGTATCGGAGACCTGATTTTAAACTATTTAATATTTTGGTAACTTATCTTAACAATCATTCGAAAAACGATTTATAAGTTTTTAAAAGTTGTACGGATTTTCATCTAGATTCTAGCTAGAAGGATAAATAATCTAACATGCAGTTTATTAGAAGTAAAAGTTTATTGCCATAAATGAAAATAATACAATTTATGTACTAAAATATGTATAATAGAGATGAGAAGGATAGTTGTTTGGCCGGATATCCGATATCCGGCGAGCTGTTAGGCCGAGGGCCACATGCTTAGCCTATTGTCACTTACATATTGAGACAAGTTTGCCGCACTAGTACTGCGCACGGCGTATTAGGGTGTCATCGTGATTTTATGATTTCTTACTACCTCAATTTCAAGTCGACGCAGTACCCTTATCAAAGTTTGCCAGAGTGTAGCTTTTAGCAAATAGTTACCTTTATAAGTCAATTTTATATTATTTACTGCACAAATATTTTTGTTGATGTTTTTTGTAGGAAAAAATCATAGTTTTTAAATATCCAGTATCAGCAAAATAAGACCGGATACGCCGGATAGTTGCCTGATATCTGTTTCATCTTTAATCTATACTATAGATTCTATAGTAACTCAGCTGATGCTGCTGTGATCGAAATCTCGAGCAACGCTGATTTTCAGTTAAATCTGTTTTTTTTTGTTTTTAATTTAGTGAATACATTTAAAGCATTGCCTTTTAATATTCTTGCTGCACTAGTTTTTATAAAAAAGTCTTATATCCACTGTTACCAAAATTAAACTTTAATTTATAATAAATAATTATATTTAAATAAAAGTTTCTTTTTAAATTTTTTGCGGATTTATTTTTATTTTTGGTTCCCGACGATTCGAATGCTTTACAGCAATCATGAGAAGAAACGTCGGGAATCAAAAATCTAAATAAATCCGCGAAAAAATCTGATAAAATAGTTTTACTTTAAATTTCAAATAGTCGCGTAAATCTAAGAAAGTAATTATATCTATTTAAAATAGAAAAAGACATAACATGTCATTTTTTTCCTATAACTTTTACATAATAGAATAACGTAAATGTTTTAATTAATATTAACATTTAACAGGTATAGAAAAACATTTTTTTTAACGCTCTACCTTCATTTTAAAAATATTTTATGCACAGGTTTCGTTTTAATACTGTTTTATTATATGAGTTTTATGATAATTTAAAACCTCCACCACGTCCATGCGGTCCATCACATCTGTCGGTGCGATTTTTTATCTATACATGTAATAAAATTGTAACTAAGCCGAATCTGTACATTAAATATTTTTTGGAAAATCTTATAATTAAATTTTAAATTAATCTATAAACATTATCGATACAGAGGTCGAATCTATAGTTTTTAGAATTTTTGTCTGTCTGTCTGTCTGTATGTCTGTCTGTCTGTCTGTCTGTCTGTCTGTCTGTCTGTCGTCTGTCTGTCTGTCTGTCTGTTACCGCATCACGAGAAAACCACTGGACATATTACGTTAATAGTCAGAGCAGTAGCAGTAGCGGAGTAAAGTTCTTCTGACCAATTTCGGCCACGGCGGCCATTTTCACTAAGACGCAAGATTTAAGCAAGAAATATATATTAGCTATTACTTATATAGCGCACGAATTTATGACTTTAATAAACACACCTTCCTAAAACTAAACCTAACCCTTTTGTTATCAATAACGGCAATAATGTCTAACTCATAGAAATTTTTACATTAATAACACACTTTTTAAGTACCTACCTAGATATAGAGCATGAAATTATTTTCAGCGTTTAAACATACCTAAATATTCATGTTTGGGATGGAGCGACGGAGGTGCGGCCAGTATGATACTTGCTGGAAAGTATCCACATGCAGTACATAAATTAGTTATTTGTGGAACTATGGCATTTTTCCTTGATGAAGATATTGTAAATTTGAAAAGTGCGTATTAACTTTAATTTATATATTTTTTATTTAATTACATTTATTTTATGAATTAAATAAATTTATATTAAAACATTGATGGCTGTGTATTAGACTGGTCGTTAAATTTTTTTCTGATGCCCCATAAAAAGCTTCCTTTTGATGAAAACACGCGAGGTATTTTTTATTATGTGGCAAGAAGATGTAAGTTATTTTTTTTAAAATCATGTTTTTTTGGATACTTTCAGGAAAAATTTTATTTCTCATAAGAAATTTTAGAAAAAAATGAACATAGATCGCTTTCAGGCACGTGTTGTTTTAATAACAAAAAAATAAAAAAAATATCTCACGTTTCTCCATCAAAAGGAAACTTTTTTGAAGGGATCGGAAAAAAATAAACGATCAGTCTACTGTGTATAATTTATAAATAATAAAGGTATAGACCACGATATCCAAAAAATATAAAATAATTACTTTTTTTATTGACTGTTGAGAACGTTCTTGTCAAGTAGGTACTGTGAACTGCTGTCGCCAGTTCTAAAACAGCCACTAGGAAAGCTTATTACCGCCAAATGCCATTAGACGAATAATATACATATAACATCATATTTTTAAATTTAGAAATTCAAAATGTGGAGAGGTGGAGCGACAGCATGAGGCAAAGAATGATTGAAACGTATGGCGAAGAAATGTTTGCTCAGTATTCGAAAAAATGGGTAGAATGTAAGTCAAAAGTTTTAGAGGCTGATCCAGATGTATGCTCAAGTTACTTGAAAAATATCTCGTGTCCCACATTCATATTGTATGGACAAAGAGACGTACTAGTGCACAAGTCACATGCTACGTTTTTATGTAATAATATAAAGAATACGAAGTAAGTACCTGCTTACCTATATTTTTCTTCGCATAATGAATTAAATATATAAAAAATAAATCAAATAGCCACTGGTCTGCAATAAAATACTCCTTCGGCACAAGTTTAGTATATGGAACGCGGCCTCTGGAGAAGTGAGTGGTATTTCTGGATAGGGGAGGTGATAGATCTAGTGTAGTAGACGTGATAGACTAGTGATAGGTTTTGACTCCTTTGTTTCATCAAAATAAATTTTATATATTTGGACTCCCTATCACCTCCCCTAACCAAAAATACCATCCACACATCCAGGGGCCCATATACTAAACTGCTGCCATCACATCTAGTTTTTGTGAAATTTGATTTTTTTTATATTGTTCAATTATTATTGACTCAGATATTTTAAGTTGTCATTATTTTATCAATAGATCTTTGAAACTAGTATAATATTATAAAATATTATATCAGGACACAACTAAAACTATATTTCTTAGATACTAGTGAGTAGTGACTTACCCCTCGCTTTCCTTTGTTACGTCCCTAGGTGCCTATGTGTTACTTCAGGTCATAGTCTATCTGTGTACTAAATTTTGTCCAAATCCGTTTAGCCGTTTCAGCGTGAAGGAGTAACAAACATACACACATACTAACTTCCGGATTTATAATACATAGTAATCCTAATCCCTTAAGTAGAAATAGTTAATATAAAACATTTTTTAAAACCTTAATAACTTTTCAGGTCCTATGCTTATCCTATGGGAAAACACGATATCCACATCCAATATGCTGAAGATTTCAACCAGAGAGTTCAAGAGTTTTTACTTGAAAAGTAAATAATAATAATAAATATGCATTTGTACTATATCCGTGGCTGGCGTAAATATTATTCATTTTACAGGAGCGCGTTTTTAATGTTTTATTAAATCTTAAAAATATTAAAAAAAACACAATTTTAGTTTGTTTTTTAATTGTCAATTTATAATTGTAGCGATATAGCAACACTAAATATGATTATTTAATAGTGTAAAAATTATAGTAATAGTACTCAAATAAAATAATATTTAATACTTACTACTTACTTACTACAGATTTTACGAATAAAATCTTCTAATATATAAATATCTCGTGTCACGGTGTTTGTGGTCGCCCTCCTCCGAAACAGCTCGATCGATTTTAATGGGGTTTTTTTGTATATTTGGTAGGTATGAGAATAGGTCGTAAAGTATTTTTCACCCTCCTATCTCCACCCCTCAATTTTTAATCGCGATTTTAGTATTTTTGTATAAACGATCTATACTAATATTATAAATGTGAAAGTGTGTTTGTTTGTTTGTCCTTCTTTCACGTCAAAACGGAGAGACGGATTGGCATGATTTTTTGTGTGGAGATAGATGAGGGCTGGAGAAACACATAGGCTACTTTTTACCGCGGAAGATTACCTGTTTCCTACGGAAAAACACGTTATAATACAATCCAAAGAATATTTATGATTAGAATTACTTGAAACTTGGTATTAATGCTCTTCAATAAAATTAAATAAATATGTGTTGAATCATTTTTCGAAATTCATTCTAAATAAATAAATAAATAATAGTTAATATATACATAAAAACCTTAATTAAAAAGAAGTGGTTAGTAAATTTTACTTATATTACAAAAAAAAATATAATCAAGTGTAACTCGCATCTTAACCACGCTGTTTTTTGTAAATGGTTTTTTACAAGAAGCACAGATTCTGAGCCGAATTGTGTAAATGCTTACTAAGCGTCCTACAATAAACAGCAGATTTTGCGCAAGAATCCAGTTTTGTTACCCGCAATGACAGAATAACCTGGACTCCAAAGAGACCAACAAGCCCTGCAGAAGAAATGATAGCAGAGAGAGTTGTAACGGGTAGGTAATTAGCTAGGAAAAATCATATTTTGATAAAAAGTCCAGAAAAAAAAGAACTTAAAATAATAAAAAAAATGCACAATGCTCGATTCTTTTGTAGAATCTGGCCATGAAACCCCTTTGTAACGAATATTATTTGAATTACTAATATAAAGTAAATAAAAAATACAAAGAAGTTATGGCTCCTTCAAGTCTTGTTATTTATATTTTTGATATCAACAAAATGAACTTAATGTAATAGTATTTTTCTATTTTATTAAGAAGATTGAAAAATTTGAAAAGATCGTTAACTTAATACATCGTAATATCTGCAAAAAGGTCGTATGAATACGATTTAAATCGTACGGTTGGCATCACTGGTTAGCTGTTGGCATCCATTACATACTGTGCAGGTTTCAAACAAAAAGTCAACAGAATTCCCATATTTTATTTTCATTTACTTAAAAGCATGTTTCATTTTAGAATAAAACAATTTACATTCAATAACACATAATTTAAGGTGAAGTGACTCGTTTATAACATACTGTACAAATAAAGTCCACAGACTACAAACAAGCTATCATAGCTGCTATGTCACACGAATACTTTGTTCTCCGATTTAAATCATTAAGTTATTTGCAACTACAATGTAAATCGGATGTGGTTAGTTAAAACAAATACAGGTATAAAAAAAACTAAGATTTCTTTGAAAGTGTACTCCAATAAACTATTAAGTTCTGAACAACTAAATGATAAATTAATTTTCATACTTCCGGCACTGCTTATTACCAACATCTACTGACAAAAATATTCTTTACAAAAATATTCATTCCCACACATTAAATTACAACGGAGATCTTTTTTTTATTATTTAAAAATAACAGGTCTTAAACCAACCGGAAGTCAATGTCAATACCAAATTACATATTTAAATGAACTTCAACAAAGACAAGTGAGTTTCTTTTTTTTTTTGTTAATAAATATTTATTGCACTCGCTACATTATATTGAGTTATAAAGAATCGGTTCTACATTTTAGTAAAATATGGAGTCCCTAAATATCATTGTAAATGAGTTTACATTGTATAAGGCACATCGTATCCTTTGGAAGCACTCCCTTACAACCTTATGTACTCCGATAAACTCCATGTTATTAGATTTACATAAACAAACACACATTAAGCGACCTACCTCGCATAAATACATAAGAAAATATAGTGACAGATTCACTATCGCAAGCTCGGTCTTATCTCATAAATAATTTCTCTAGTACAAAAATAGTATACAGTGAATCGAACGCCAGTCCAACGGATCAGCACCAAGTTTACACCTGCTATACTAATATGATACATTTAACTTAAAAATACATAACGATACAAAATTACAACATTATCACCGGGATTATTAACAATACAGGCATCTTATTTAAATATAATTACAACTATATTTTTAATAGAGAGTCAAGGCACTAGTTCAAGTGTCCGGTCACTCATACGTAGACGGGGCCTTGGTTGTCGTTGTCGTCGAGATTTATTTTGTTCGTGTATCCATCGTCGAAGAACCTTCTGAAGGTGAATTCGAAGAAGCCATGGAAGGTTTTCCCATTGTCGAGCAACTCACTGTCTGATTTATTCGAATCTGAACTTCCAGAGTTCCTCAGTTTATCTGGGTCGATTGGGTCGAAGTTGGATGTGTCGGTCGGGTATTCTATCCTGGGTATGTAGGGGGCCACTTGTCTCCTCAATCCCTTTTCAAAGTCTATACTTTTGAGGAAAGGGTGGTTTTTCACTTCGGTAGCGTCTTTGCCCAGTCTAATTTCTTGACCGGAGCAAAGCTGTAGTATCAGGTCTTTGCTCTCTCGCGAAAGATTCGCCGCGTCTGGTATGTGGAGAGTGCTCTCCCAATTTATTACCTGCAATTATTAAATATAAAGTATTAATATAAGTATCATATGATAGGCAGTGGTAGCCCAGTGGTAACGCGCTCGCTTGGGAAACCGAGTGAAGCAGGTTCAAATCCCGGGTTACGGGTCGCACCTCTGATATTTTCATGTGAGAATCATTTTCTAACATAATTATCACTTTTTTACGGTGAAGGAAAAGATCGTGAGGAAACCTGCATGCCTGAGAGAATCTAGCAAGTTTTCGAAAGACATGTGAAGTCCGCCAACTCGCACTGGGCAGCGTGTTGGACTATGGCCTCCCCTCGTATTGAAGGATGGCCCCTGCCCAACAGTGTTGTTAAAAAGGGCTGAATACAAAGTAATTAAATTACTGTCATTTTCAAAATACACACTCTTTTCTCATGACAATCTGGAAATATTGTAAACTAGCGACTCACCCTCGCTTCGTTCGGGTTTGTCCCTAACTTGATTCCCCATACAAACTTTTATCCCCATTGTCACCCCCTTAAGGGATGATTTCCGGGATAAAAAGTATCCTATGTCCTTCCCAGGGACTCAAACTATATTCTTACCAAATTTCATATAAATCGCTTCAGTAGATCCAGAGATTACCACCTACAACGTCACAAACTCACAAACTTTACCTCTTTATAATACTACTAGTATAAATAAATAAATTATTAAAATAAATAAAAGTTTATAATCAAATTTTTTACCTTAAGCTGAGTTTCAGCGGGCGTCGCAGCCAGAAACGGGGGAGAACCGACCAACATCTCATACAGGATGACTCCCACCGACCACCAGTCACACAACTGCGTGTACCCGGTCCTTTGCAACACCTCTGGTGCTATATAATTTGGTGTCCCCACTAGAGAGTGGGCGAGACATCTCTGATGTTCCCTTTTACGCCGCCTCTCTAAGGGTTTTAGTTGGTGACATCGACATTCTCCCATCGCACCCCATTCGCCGTCCACCGGGTCCATTGAGTCTTGTCGTCCATGGTCTAGAAATGAAAACGAATTGTAAATGTTGCTAAATGCTAATATTCTATACCAATATACACATGCGGTTGCACTCGCGCGGAAAATGTGTCGATAAAATATAATTTATTTTACAATAAACAGCACTTTATAAACAAGTATTTAAATGTTAAGCTAACAATTTTTAAGTAACCACTACCATCCGTACAAGTTAAACTGTATAACTGTCGAACAGTAACAACAGTAGGGGAGTCCAATAGGAGATTTTGGGATTTACTCAAGCAATATTATTTTAATATTCTGATCGGCTGGCCAAGAGCTTATACACAGAGGACTCAACAGAGTGCAAGGGGGGATCATCTTATATTAATCTGCCGCGCTTGAGTAAACCCTAAAAGCCCCTCTTGGGCTCCCTTACTAAAATCATATTTATATTATATGCTGTATTTCATGAAGAGACAAGAAACCACTAGCAAACATTCGAGTTTATAATATTGATATAGCAATAACATTGCTAGGATAATTGAACCTGTCTCTTTTTATTCACATTCTACTCCTGATTACTAATAATAATAAATAGTATTATAAATTTAACAATCCATAAAAACCTATGAATATTCATTACATTAACTTGTAAATAATTGAGAGGATCGATTTTTAATGTTTTCATTATTTTTCTTGATACATGGAAAATTAGTGTAAATAAGACTATATTATAAGGTCCTCCACGCGATCGTAGCCGCGAGCGAAAGCTATCCGAAAAATAAAAAAAAACTAATATAACACTCACCATTCCTCTGATAATATTTCGAATTGTGCGTCCACCTGAAGCCCGTGCACAGACCGAAGTCAGTCAACTTGATGTGTCCATCGCGATCTATGAGGATGTTATCAGGTTTGATATCCCTATGAATAAATCCCATTTTATGCACGCTCTCCACCGCGCACGTAAGCTCCGCTATATAAAACCTAGCTAAGTTTTCTTCGAAAATGCCCAATTTAATTAAGAGCGACATCAAATCACCGCCCGGTATGTAATCCATTACGAAATACAAATTATCTTTGTCCTGGAAGCTGTAATACAACTTCACAACCCACTCGTTGTCTGCCTCAGCTAGAATATCTCTCTCGGCTTTCACGTGCGCTACTTGATTTCGCTTCAACACGTCAGCCTTACGAAGCGTTTTCATGGCATAGAGATGACTAGTATCGATCTTTCTCACAAGCGTCACTTCCCCAAAAGCTCCAACGCCAATGGGCTTTATTTTTGTGAACATGGACTTATCCATCTTCGCTCGTTTCAATCTTATATAATTAGACTCCTTTTGGGATAACATCTTCCTCATCTGATCCTGAGCTTCTGCACTGAGACCAATTTTAGTCATTTCCTTCTCCAACTGCATACGACGATACGTTCGCTGTTTGTAGCTTTTTAGAATGTTCTCAACGTGTTGTTCCATGAAAAATTTGAAGGCTTGTGGGGAATAATTCCTAACTTTACAGTCTCTTCTTTCATCCTCTTTTTCTTTACTAATGTTCTTTCTCTCAGGAATTGGTGATTGATGCCTGATCTTCTCCGGGCCACCCTTGGGTCGCCTCTCCGAAGAACCGTTTGAACTTTTATCGGAACCAGACGGTGCATCTTTTAGCAAATTGCAATTCTGATTCGGACATTTTATTTCCATTTGAGACATTTCTCCTTTCACGTCGCAGTTATTAGAGAACTTTTTATGTAACGGTAAATGGTGGGAATTGACTGTTGTCGTATTATCGCTTGGATTTCCGTAGGGCGGTGGTGGTATAGGATGCATTCCTCTTTGCACAGCTAATGCTTGCATGGTTATTGCGTAGCTCGGAGGCTCTGTAGTGGGGACGGTGGGAGTGGTTGCAGTCGGTATGACCGGCGGGGTAGACCCTGGCGATGAGGGCTTAGGGGCTAGAGGGTAGCTTGGGGGTGTTTGAGCCTGTTTCTGCTGTATCGAGCTAGCGTACGAAGGCGGGGGTGGTTGCACTACAGAACTGGCTACCGGCGGTGGGGCGACTGGCGCGATGGCTGTTTGTAAAACGGGCTTTTGAACTTGAGTACTCTTCACCGACTGCATTATTATCGGAGGTTGAACTGCTTGTCTCGCTGTCCACGCCTGGATAGGCGTAGGGCGAGTCATCCCGGACGCCGAGCCCGTTGATTGCGTCACCGTTATCGGGCTCGGAGAACCAGCCGAAGTTCCGCCTGAGTATATCCCCGAGGACGGACTCTTTCTGTAGTCCTGGGATTGCGTGGGACTTTGCCGGTTTTGTACGGACACTGAATATGGTGGTGGAGGCGGCACACCCGGTAGAGGATATGGAGGGGGTAACTCTGCACCTCCTCCTGTTTGAAAAATGCTCAACGCTTGAATTTGCTGTGAAAATTGTTGCTGAGCTTGGGGGCCATTTTGAACTATCATTGGCTGGCGTGCAGGCGGCGCGGGGGCTCCGGCCGCCACCGGGCTGGTCCCCCGGGCAGGTGGTAAGGGAGGAGCTGGTGATATCCGCTTCATGTACTGTTGTACTGAAGGGGGGACTGGGGGAGTAGAAGGACATCTTGGCGGCGGGGGAGGAGGGGGTTCGGAAAAGCCTGATGGCGAATACTGCCTACTCAATTTCTCATGAGGTAATGGGGGAGCATCAGATTGCCGCGGACTGTCCGATCTGGAACTTCCGGCCCCAGAGTCAAGTGCCGGACTTCCTCTATGTAGATTGATTTCACGCTCTAAACTTGGTTTTCTTATAAGCTTCGTGCTTAGAACGCTTAAGTTACTCGATTTAAGCACGCCATTTAGAGGTTCCTGTTTCTTCGAAAGATAATCGAGTGCCGCATCAAAACGGCCACCTGCATATTTCAATGCCTTAACAGCTGGATCCTGAAATACACCAGAAAATTATGGTATTTAAAAAAAATATATTATTTAAATATGATTTGAAATAAGATATACTTAATCACAAAACTTAGTGTAAATAAGTATTACTAATATTAGCAATTCTATAAATATACCTAAAAGAAAAACAAAATCCAAAAAGCTTTTTCCTCAGAATTTGATGTTCTTTAGATGGATGATACAATTGAAATCTATACATATAATAAAATTTTAACTAAGTCAAATCTGTACATTAAAGAAATTTTGTCTGTCTGTCTGTTACCGCATCACGGAAAAACCACTGGAAGGATTTTGATGAAATTTGGTATGATGGTAACTGGTTATCCGGGTCAACATATAGGATACTTTTTACTGCGCGAAAATGTTTCTTCTCTGAGAAATCTATACTAAACGTTAAAAAGTAAGTAGTAATTAATAAGTCGCTAGTTACTAATAAGTCTTTTTGCTGAACAATTTGTCACATTTACATTGAAAGTATAGAAATGGAAATATCAATTTGAACTATTGTTAAAAAAAGGTGACCTCCAATTTTTTTTTATGTGACAAAGGATGGCATATTTGTATAAGAATAGTATTATGTCATTTGTATGTTTGTAAAACACTTTGAGATAACTTTTAAATGAAAGGAGTGTTTAATATTTTTAATATAGTATGTAGTAGTTTACTGTATATTATCTAGTTTATTTGATCATAGAATCATAAAGAGTGATCACAGTTTATTATTATTATTGACTGTACTGAAATAGTAAGCATTGGTACACCCTATTATTAACAAAATAACATATTACAATATTACAAAGGATTAAGTTAGCTTAGATATTGGAAGTTTGAGGATGCACTTTAATGTAAAGCTACTACTCCCATTCAAAAATGCCTTCAATAATACGATAAACTTTTTCATGACACACTGTGGCACATGAATTATCAAAGAATGGGCAGGGGCTTCTACAGCTTATACAAAGGAATGGTAGGTTGCAGGTTGTTATTAATAAGTTCATAAATTATGCAATGTCAAGAAATAATATCAAATTGATATGATTTTTTATATTTAATTTCAGATATTCTTTTAAATAATATCTTTTACTATACTTATAAAAATAATATAGTAGGAGATCCCGATCTATGTGAGACCCCTCAATCTATTTAAAGATGAAATACATTTTTTAAACAATAAAACATATTAACAAACACAACCCGGTCCCGGTTGTAACCAAAAATTTGCTCCTGGCTAATTTTAATAATATTTTTTTTTGATAATTTTTTTTTAAAGTACAGCAACTCTTTTCCTGTCACAACTTAGTATAATTGAAAGAAGACATAAAAAATGCCATCATACGGTTAGAGGTATGGTAGTTAATTGCTCATATCATATAATATTTTTCAGAACCAACTAAGTATTAAAATGTAGATAATTTTATAACAATTTTAATGGGTTGTTTTACCTAACCATATACAAATTAAAGGTTTTTAAATTAAAAATAACCTGAAGCAAACTTTTGGTAACAACTCCCAAGGGTTGTATATGTTAATGTTTTATGGTTTAAAAAATATATTTCGCCTGGAAAAAGAGTGAGAGATCCACCACATAGATCGGGATCTTAGACTGATAGTTATATCACAAGATTTAGTTTGACATTGATTCTTCATATAACAAATATAAATTTTATCCATGAAAGATAACATTAATTTATTAGAAACATTCTTTCATTAAGAATTTATAAATTGCATAAAAGAAAAATTTTAAGGATACTTTCTAAATAATTCTAATATGAAAAACTAAAAAATCATATGTAACTTTATTAAAAAAATTGATACTGAAAATATTTTTTATTCTATAAATGCTATTAACAATTCAATGCTTGTTTAGAACTTTTGAGGCAATTTATTTTGTCAATATTTCACAGTAGAGAAGACATGTAATATAATGTATTAAATATTCTCTGGTAATTAAAGAGCTTATAGCATAATAAAACAAATCTGTTGTGCTCTACATTACAAAAGTGATAGCTAAGATCATTAAAATAAAGTAATAGAATTAACATAACATACACTTACTTCATCATAACCCAGAGCTATCAGCTGATTGAGCGACTGCGGCAGCACACTCAAGTCTTTATCAAGTCCATTTCCTGATGATGAACTGAAGCCAGAACTGACTCCTGAGCTAACAGTGCTGGCAGCAGAGGAACCGGGTGGCTCCAAACTCCCATTATTGGCAAATGGGAGTAATGAATTACGTATTTCGGCAAGCGCTTTCTGGTTATACCCTGATGAGCGCGTAGCCGTCTTGCCGGGCGCCGGCGGGTTCATGGCGCCCGCGCCCGAGCGCCGCACCTCTCACCCCACCCCTCCCATCACATGAGCACCCTGCTCCACACACTCACAGTTCGCATTTGAGCTTCTATATTTGCACTTTTAAAAAAACAAGTTTAATCTGAATTCTTTGTAATGTATATATGCTTCCCTCTTTAATTTTCCACTTCAATTGACATTGTATTTAGAATTGACACTCTTGTAAAACTGAAAATGTTAAACATATATGGTATTATTATTGACAACAATAAGCTAATAAGAATTTATAATGAATTGATTTGAATTATCTTCTCATAGAAGAAATGATATTCCGAAATATAATAACAACATCGTATTAGAATACAAAATTATCATAAAGTGACCATTCTATATATACACATTTATTTAGTTAGTTACATGTAAAGAACACAATATTATTTTGAATAAAATCAGAATTCAGAATACAGTAGCAAACTCTTCGTACACTCGACACGATTCAGACTGACATCCAGCTAAGGAATGCCAAAATTAGAGTCAGCTTTGTTTAACACATATTAACTATTAGATGTATTAAAGTAAATGTTACATTATAAACAATTTACCTGATTTTCTTCACTCTATACAAATCCAAAAGTGACTCCTAGACGTCATAATCCCGTAAAATAAAAATGTATTAGAATGCTCTCACATTACCGATGACATCTTTTTTGCACACCACAAATTATGATTACAGCATAAATGTTCATGCATATACAAGACAATAGTGAATAGAATATATTTTGTCCTTAATGTTAGAGTATATTTAACAAATTATGAAAACAAAGAACTCTAAAACACAGACATGCAAGTTGGCAAACCATACAAAGCGACCATTTTGAAGAATTACCACATTCCATAGTGTGTCCGTAAAAGCTACGCCAAAGTGACATTTACGATTGATACTTATTTTAATTTACGATTTTATGTACATTGTATTAAAAGAATATTAATTATATTCCTTTAATCTTTAACAAAAAATATATTATCTAAGATTTTCCTACATGGCTTTTAATTAATTTTATTTTCAATTTTTGACCAGAAAGCTGATTTAAAAAACACTTTTACTAGTCTTTGGAACGTATCCTAATTTTAAGCTATAAACACATTTTGTTTCAACTGTTGCATTCTAATGGAGACGAATTTTGCCTTTATCTCCCGCCAGATAGCGCGATTACTATATTCCTCAGTATATTGTAAAGCACTATAGCGTGGATGGATTTAATTTTCATTTTATTTAAAATTTAATTAAAATGACAAATTGTGCAGACCGGGAGGCAAAGAAAATGGATATCAATTGTTCCCAAAATACAAAAATTGAAGATATTGTGAGCTAAAGCAATAAGACAAGCAATATTGGCGAAATCACAATCTTTAATAAATAAAATGTGCATATCATTTTTAGGCTATGTGGACATCATTTTTAGGAAAGAGATTTTAAAACTCTTAAATCACCTACAGGTGTTTTTTTTTGTACTTTTTTACATGTTAAATATTAATTACAGTTTTATACAAACTTTTATCACCCATTTTATCCCCTATGTGATAGAATTTGGAATAATGTTAAAACAAGTATTTATTTAATTATATAGAAAAGCATTAATACCAAGTATCAAGCAATTCTTATCATAAATAATTCTTTGCCTTAATATAAACTTTATTACCTCGTTTAACCCCTTTAAGGAATGAATTTCGAAAAAATCAAATGAATATATTTCTTACTTTTTATCTTAAAGCTAATAAACACCACTTTCTGTGTATTTCACATTAATAATGACAGAGTTTTATAAAATCTTTAATCCCCTTTTTACCCACTTAGGGGATGAATTTTGTTCCTTTAATATCATAAATATCATCATATAATCCTTTCTTATCAAATGATGATCCTACATCATAAAAGGAATACGTCCTCCACATTTCATGTTTCTACAACCAGAGGTTTATGCTGTATGTTGATCTATTAATCAGTCAGGACCACCACAAGAAGCACCTCTTCTTCTCAATTCTACAACAACAATGATTGATTGACAACAATACTTTGCACGGGTAAGATACGAGTTGCATAACTCAGACTGATTGTAAGTAGACCATACGTGTGGCGCCCTCTTTTCGGGAAATCTTTCCCATTTTAGTCTATTATATGTTATATTATAATTTCTTTTCAGATGAGTACAATCTAATATTGATTAATAAAAATAAAAAAATGCAATATATAAAATATATTTTTATTATTACTAGTACAATAAGAGGTATAAGATAGTTTTTACATTAGGTAATTTCTTCATTAACGTTATTGTGAGCAATCTACAGTTAATATAGTAATATAGAGCGTGTATGATGTATATAACCTTTTAAATTCATCTATATTTTTACGAATTTTAGTCATGAGGCAATGCATCGATTGTTCCTTTAGCATGTGTACATCTTGCCTAATGGCAAACGAGTTACATTTTCAGAAATCAAAGTGTCAAAATCAGGTGTTTTCTATTTATTACATATTGCTTAATCTGTGGTGTTTACATAGTGTGGTACGCACTACGCTGATCTTACCGCGTCGACTATTATTAATTTATACTCGAAAATTATATTTTATTTGTGAAAAATGAATATATTAAATAATTTGCAATATTAACTATATAATTAATTGTTTTCATTTAATTAAGTACACATAATATTTATTTTGATCTAATTTCCTTAAAATGACACAAAACTTGCTCTCGCTTTTTCTTTTCCTATTTTTATCACATTATGTAGCACCTGAAGAAAGCACTGTCTACGAATATGGACCAGATAGTTTTAAACAGCAAATAGAGAATATGGATGGTAACTTTATAATGTTCTACGCGCCATGGTTAGTTTTTATTAGTTTAGTATATAATACAAATAAATAATAGGATACTTTACTATATATTAATTCCACGGTTTATAATTGCAGGTGCAGTCATTGTACAAAATTTTATCCTATTTGGTCGGAATTGGGAGAGCTTGTAAATACAAAAGAATCAAAATTTGCAATTGCTCAAGTTGATTGTACAATACATTCTAAATTATGCCATGAAAATGATATTACAGGTAAATATTGTAAAATGTTTAAGGAACTGGAACCTTTTGAGTATATTCATTATTCAGTATATGTTTTTTATCTTATTCATTGTAGGATATCCAACACTTCTATACTTTCACAAGAATTCATTCTCACCAGTTGAATACAAAGGAGCTAGAGACTTACCATCTCTGACACTCTTCTTAAGTGAAGTTTTTACCATGAAATCTGAGGTACTTTTTTATTGAATATTTATTTTTATATATATTTTGATACCATCACGGCCCGTGGCACTGCCCGCATTCAGATGACCAAAAACCGAATTCTTAGGTTTTACATATTAGTATACTCTTACATTGCAGTTTTTGTATTTTTTCTCAGAAATGTCTATTTCAATAAGATTTTCCAAAAAATATTTAATGTACAGATTCGGCTTAGTTACAGTTTTATTATATGTATAGATTAACAATGTTATATTATATTTTAAAGTACATAATATATGCATTTATTTTTCAGGGCCTTGAAGATGAACAATCTGAAGAAGTTAAATTTTACAGTGGTATGGCATATTTAAATGATCATAATATTGAGAAGTTTTTATCAAAGGGACAGCATTTTGTCATGTTTTTTGCTCCATGGTGTAAGGCCTCACAGGTAACGAATGAAGTATTAATATTATCAACACTACAAAAATATTAATATTATTTTGTCAAATCTGTAACGGATAGTTTATCTTTTTTGATAACAAATTAATAGTAAAGGTATAACTATTATTTTGATGATGTTAGGTCAGTCCATTTGTTAAAGGGTTTTATTGTTAAAAATCTGTTACAGTCCCAGTGTAGAGATCTTGTCAGCTTTGAGAGAGTGGATCTGTACTTGCACTGTCACTTGTACTTTATAATGAAAATAAAGTAAAAAAACTATCTATACTAATTAATATTATAAAGAGAAAAAACTTTATACTTAATATGAAAAAAATATGTTTTGTTATAATGGGTAAACTAAAAATCGTCTCTAGTACAATATATTTAACCGGCTTCCAAAAAGGAGGAGGTTCTCAATTCATTGGAATCTTTTTTTTATATAATAAAAAAATCTTAATAGTTATATAATATAGTGGTAGAATTTAATATTAAAATTATAAAAAAATTATAAATATTATGTAACTAGATTATTATGTATGCAAAGTTACTTATAAAACATTTTTTAAGAGATTAGCTCCAATATGGGCAGACTTGGCTGTACATTATGCACACAATGAATATATACAAATAGGAAGAGTGAATTGTATGGACAGTGAAATGACATGCAAGAATTTTGACATCAAGCAGTATCCATACTTGCTATGGGTAGTCAATGGAAGGATTGTAAGTTTTTCTTGAGATTAGCTAATGTTTCATTATAGCTGGACAGGGGTATATAGTCAAACTTACGTTTGTGTTGTGAATTTTAATTTAAGTTTGAAGATTTTGTTTTAATTAAAGTAATCCTTGCCTTTAGCCATTATTTAGTGTTAGGTCCTAAAGCTTTATATTTGACTGTATACCCCATTTTTAGAACATTTAAGATAAATGTCTCTGTAAGTGGGGCACCTCAAATACTGTTTTTACTAGACAATTAAATAAAAGTTTTTTTTAATATAGTAAGATAATGTAATTATCATTTTTGTACATCCTGTTTCTTTTTAATTTTCTTGCATTAAGTCTAATTTTAATTTAAGAATTTCTATTAAATACATAATGAAAATATAATTAGGTCAGTGAAATTAAATAATCATTCCCTTTGAAATTCAAACCTGTACCATATCACATATTATGTAAGTGCCAATCACAAAATATATAATGAAGCCTTAACACTAGACAGGATCTTAGCATTATATATTTTTTTATAACACTGCATTTTTTTAAAAGATGGGTGTAGCAGATGCGGATACACTAGAAGAACTTAAGGAATACATAGAAAAAATGCTTCTTGCTGAAAATCATGACCCAGACAAGTTTATGAAAAAGAAAAAGGCTCTACCTGTTGCTAGGATATCAGAAGAGACATTTGAGACATTTTTGGAGAAAGATTTGGTTTTTGTCAATTATTTTGCTCCTTGGTAAGAATTTATACTGTTATTCTTTCATTTTTAATTTCTTAATGTTGAAATTGATTTTAAAAAGGATATTTTATAAAACTTTATAAGTACTGTGGAGGTTCTAAATGAAAAAAAAATTGTCCTATTCAAAGTTTTTATAATTTTTCCTTTTACTTAATAAAATAATTATATATAAAATATTATTTGGTACAATATGTCTATTCATATGAAATTTTATTAAAATTTCACTAATAAGAGGACAATATTAGCCCTGAAAAAAGTTATTTTTATATTATTATTTCCTGAATTGTTTAACTTTGTTTACAATATTTACACTGAACTATATATCTAACTTTTTAAGGTGTGCTCACTGTATGCAATTGAATCCACTCTGGATAAAACTCGGCGAACGATTTCTAAATGAAAGTCGGGTAATAATAGCGGATATTGACTGCGTGCGATCAAAACCTATATGTGAAATGGAGAAGGTATTTTTATTATTTTATAAGTATGTTATAAAAGTAATGTATATGTTATAACACTTTTTAAGTTTTTATATTAGAATCATGAACGAATTAACCACTGGACCAGACATATAAGCGGACGTACCTTTAACGGTCATGTCAGTAACCAGGGAATTTTAGCCTAGGTCGTTTGTTTTTTGTGTCAGTCTCAAGCACTTACTTGTCAACAAAACATCTCCCAAAAATGACTAAATGTTCTGTTAAATGGTGTAAAAACTATAACGGCGGAAGCAGCACTATTTCTTTTCACTTGTAAATACATTATTTTATTACATTTATTGTTATTTATCACAAAATTTAATTAAATGTAAAATAAAATGTCATATTATCCAACTATGTTAAATATAGTCGATATTTCTATGTATTGTTGACATCTGACAACCATCATAAAATGGCTGGATTATACCATTCAGAACAAATGACAAAACTGTCCAGTGAGTCCATTTGACATCGACTAGTGCTTGACAATGTCGAAAAATATATCGATAATTGACGAAATAACTGAACAAATTGTGTTATTTGTACAGTACAATAACATAAAATACTTTTATCACAGTATCCTACAATCTGATGACAATAAATTTATAAAAATATTTTCAAAATCAAATAAAAATATAAATGCAAAAATTATAATAAGTATGTGTACTTAATTTTTTATTTTATTTTATACCACATTTATATACTTTGGAATATTATTCCATTGTAATAATAATAAAGATCATTTTATTTCAACACATAAATTACACAAAATCAAACAATAATGTTTTAGCACTAAACTTCTGGGTTAGCGATTTGTAATAAAACACTTTACCACTTGCACTAATTATTTTACTTTCACGATCCAACACTCACTTTTTCACAATTTGCAATCACTTTTTCTTTTTCCTAATTTCACAAATGTTTATTAATAACTGAGCAATATTAGGACAGTGTCACATTTTTATAACTACCCGAGACAATCAATTGCCAATTAAAATAGTTCAATAACAGAATCAACAAAATCACTTTATTTAATTAAATTAGCTTAATATTTTTTTAATCTTTACAAAATAATATTTATTATATATTAATGGAATATACACCCGATATTCATTTGTTAACATTATTATAGGCCAACAGAATGTTGCCATCAATGCCATCGTATTTATATAAATCAAATTAAAAAATATATTATTATTTGACACATTATTATTGCCTCTTTAATTCATTTATTTTAATTTATTATAATAAATACAGATATTTTAAATTAAAAGATGTTACAAATGTCTAAAATGTCATTCATTGGTTCATCGATATATGTATTTTATCGATTACGTTCAAGCACTAGAAATATTGTATTGTGTATCAGTGTTTATAATAATGTAATAAAATCTTTGCGTGCGTTATGCGTCACTTGGTTGAACTATTTTTCATACATTTGTATTTTATGTCAGGTCCAGTCTCTAATTCGTCCATGATTAGAATATAGTATAAAACAAAAACAAATCTATCCCTCGAGAACTGTTTATTTTTTGAGGATGAAAAGTAGCCTATATGTTATTCCAGAATATAATCTTATCTCTGTGCCGTATCCGTTCAGCCATTCTGGACGTGAAAAAGTAACAAATATCCATACATATTTACAAACATTCACATTTTTAATATTTATACAGATTTAAATATGTTTTAGATTAATGGTCTACCCACATTGATTCTGTACAAAAACAAAAAGATAGTAAATGTAGATCATGGAGGACGGCCATTAGAAAGTCTCATAACATTAGTCAATGAACATCTTGAAGAAACTGCAGATTTAATTACAACAGAAGAAAATGTAACAACTGAAGAAACACCAGCTAAAGATGAATTATAAAAAAGTGTTTAGGTACACAAATATACTATACATACAACAAAGTTTTGTTTTTTTAGCTACTCCCATTTTATTTTTTAGTTTGTTTTGAATAACTGCTTATTTTATCCATAGACAGCAACTTTTTTAAAATATTACTGTGTTTTAAAATATTTATATTGTAGGTTATCATATATTGATACAGTATAATACAGAAACACAAAATTGATATATTTAATTATTTTATTAATCTTTCTTTTACATAATACAGCATTTATAGTTGAATGGTTTTACCAATTCTTAACCAAAGGGTATAGAAATATTTTTCTATTCAATAACTTTGTATTTTGACATTGTGTAAAGGAACTTCAACTAATCACCTATTAGTTTTATTTGTACTTACCTATAGTAAATGCAAGTTGTTAAGGACTATACAAACCTTCAAAAAAATTGGAAGATTATAATGTTATATTGTATCACCTATTTGATCCTTTGTTTTTCAACAGTTTGTGATTGAAAGAAATCTCCATCAGCCATAGTCGCTTGTCGATTTATCTGTTTATGCCTATCGTGTGACACTATTTCTTCTAAAACTTCTCCATCTCCTTTTATTAATCTAGAAAAAATACAGAACTGAGACACAGTATTATTTATATCTAGATAAAATTAATGTACACATATTTTTATCATTTTCTTTGATAAAATATTTCTATTATGCAAATTTTTAATGACCAGACAAATTTTAGAAAGATAAAATAACCTGTATCTGCCAGTTTCTTCATCTTGGACCCTACGAATCACACTTTGGCGTTTTTCCCATTCTTCCTTGGTCATAGGAGCCATTGCTTTAGACTTCTCCATTAATTCTGAGAATCAAATAATAACACATTTGATTCATTTCTATGAATAATGAATGTAAATAAAGAGCATGCAAAAAAAAACTAAAAGGGGTTTAGAATTCATTATTACCTAAAGGAATATCTGATGATGGTCCTTCATCTTTTGGTTTTTCATCATGACTTCGACTTCGGTCCTCACGCGATTTCTTTTTAAGTTTTTTTTTCTCTTCTTTCAGTTTTTTCTTTAAAATCTTCTTGGTTTTCTTTTGAGCTTCTTTCAATTTCTTTTTCAATTTGCGTAGTTTCTTTCTACTCTCACGATCTGAATCGGAACTACTCGAAGTAGAACTTGATGATTCAGATGACGAGCGATGTCTCTTTTTAGATTTTACTTTACCCATATTGTTTAACAAAGCCTAGACATTTAGATCAATGAGAATTGAGAGTTATTGACAAAGAGTATAGATATATAGGTTATTGATAAACACCAAAGTTTCAACAAATTTTTTGTCCTCAAAAATGTCAAATGTCAATGTGGTTTTTTCTAAACGTCAGTCGTCAATGTCAAATTTACCTTTGCGGCTTGGTCCGGAAAAGCAATAGAATAGAGTTGATTTCTCATATTTAATTTTAATATGTAAATAAAAAGTAAATAAATAACAAAAACATAATACTCATTAATAAAATGACTTAAGCCACTGAAATTCTTTAACAAATAAATTTGTGACATGGTCCGCTTTTTAGTTATTATTTTCTTTAAGGATCCTAATTTCTAACTATCCGGCAATATTTACATAATAAAATAATACGAACTGTTATTAATAAAAACTACAATGTTTAAAATGCGCCCAAACGACTTTTCTAGGAACTACATAACATAAAAATTAAATTAGAACCTGCCCTTATTCTATACTGAAAACTGCTGTTTTTAATTCCAGAAACAGCCACTACAAAAATGTTGTCATCGCCAACTAAGAAGGTTTTAAATAAAATATATATTTTAAATTCTACACCGTTTTTAATATATAATTGAAATCCATATTTAATATTATAAATGTAAAAGTGTGTTTGTTTGTTTGTCTTTCTTTCACTTCGAAACGGAGTGACGGATTGACGTGATTTTTTGTGTGTAGATAGTTGGCTGGAAATTGACATAGGCTATTTTTTACCGCGGAAGATAACCTTATTCCCACGGGATGTTAATAAAACACATTATAATGCAACCCAAAAATTATTTATGATCAGAATTACTTGAAATTAAGTAGATAATAATGCTCTTTAATACAATAACATAAACACGTGTTTTTGCATTTTTCGAAATCCATCCTATAAGGGGGTAAAGTAGAGGATGAAAGTTTGTATGAAATCCTTAGATTTTTTTTCAGTTTTAGCGCAAACGAGGCCGCGGGTTCTGCTAGTATAATATACCTAAATGTGAAAGTTTCTGTGTATGTTTGCCACTCCTTCACGCTGTAACGTCTGGAGTTTATGTTACTCCAGGTCATATGTGTACTAAATTTTATCCAAATCCGTCTATCCTTTAACATGTAGAAGAAAAAAACAATACACGTTATACACACACCTACAAATATTCGCATTAATAATAATAGTTTGAGAAATACATTAGAAAAACAAAGTTTTATGAAACCCAGCTTAACATAGAAGTATGTATATGTATTTTTTGAGCTACTACTATAAAGCTTCACAATACAAGGATAAATGTGAACTGTTTATTTTTCCCTGAAAATTACAAATAATAACACTGCTACAATATGTACATTTAAGAGCTTTTTCAAACTATTATAAAATGTAAGTACTTGTGAATGAGTATAATGCGCCATACATTAAAAGACAAGTAGGTAGGCACAACAGTAAGAGCTCATATCTACGTATAGCTATAGCAATTTCGCATTGAGCGGCGGTGACACGGCACGGGAGTCCCGATGAATAATTGACGGGGGGAGCGCGCACGCGCGGTAGCTAGACGGCAAACCATTCGATGCTACAGCAGTTAACACTCAATCACCCTCGTTTAGCATCGGAATTATCTAAAATATAAGGAAATTTTACATTTTAGAGTAAAATATTATGAAATTGTTATAATTGTTTTGGTGGGCGTAGTGTGTAGTGCATACGATGCAGGCAGGGGGTCCGGATAGCACTGCGGTCTCGGAGGCCCCCAGCAGTGGTAGTGAGGAGTCAGATTGTGAGCAGGGCCCTGAGGCTGATGCGGACACAGCACTGACAGAAGAATGGGCAAGAGAACTGCTTGTTGGTGCGGGCATGGTCACGCCTCAAGAGGTATGCTCTTATACTTTTTAAGAAAATAATTAACTAAATGTAACGAACTCTCCATTTTTATGTATATTTCATGTAAAACCTTATAGTATACACTAATAATAATTTAAGGAATGATATTGTAGATACGCGTAGAATCTAGAGCTGGTGTTGCCGGAGCACTAAGCCGAGTACTTGCTGTGACTGTTCGCTACGAGAGCAATGGTGAACGCAGAGCTTTACCTCTCGTGGTTAAACTGCCTCCCAGAGATCCTTTTGGCCGGCTTTTTGTTGCTGAAGCGCAATTCGATACAAGAGAAATCTTGTTTTATACAGAACTAGCGCCTGTCTTAAATAGACTAGCTGAAGAGGCACTGGGTCCCAAGGAAGGCTTACCTATACCAAGATGCGTTAAAGCAAGACTACCAGGTACTTACTTTAAATATGATTGCATTTTAACTATCATTCAAGTAAATCTATATTTTTATTTATTTTATACTGATATTATTTCAGAGAGTGTGTTTAATGGTAAAAAAACTCAAGTGAAGATGAAATAATAATACCGCCGTCTGTACTTATGATTCGTCATACATACTTTCAGACTGATGATAAAAATATTTTTGACGCAATGCAGCCAAATTCCTAAATAGCTTTTTGTTGACACTAAATTAAGCATTTCCCGCTATTTCTATAAGGTCATATTTAGGGATAAATAATTTCCTTAACCACATTTAATGTTTGAGTGTAGTTTAATTTTACTATTACATAAAGTTTAAAATAAAACTAAACAACTGTAAAAACTTATATGTTATTTTTAAACTTTATAAAATATTTTAAGTACTTGCTTCAATTTTTATTATAAAATGTTCCACTATGAAATAGAAAACACCTATGGTAGGTATAATTATGAGGATATAAAATTCTCGACCACTCCTCTAGTTTCTATTATATCAGTTTGCTCTTAGAATTATTAATAAGGTACCTATATCGCATTCCGAAAAGTACGTGACTTGATTATACCAAATGGCTTGATAATACCGTGGGTTACATGAAATAATAGTCCCTTGGATCTACTATAATTGCTTTAACGAGGTGATACATTTATTACTCATAAGTTAAATTAAAATTAGGTCTTGTTAAAACTACTCGATTGCTAATAAAGGATTAATAGGAAAGTATATTTCCGAATTTGTTACACCAGCTATATACATATAGGTATGTATATACAGAGGCGGATTTAGAAATATCCTCGGGACAAATATGGCCGTTAATAATATTGTAAACCAAAAAAATAAAGGTTTTTTTTTCTAACTTTTTCTTTACTTTAACAATTCACATTCATTGTACATCTAGCAATTTCTGTTGCTAGAGCCCCTAAGGCTAGGACCTAGGGATCTGATGTGGGAACCCGGGACTCGGGCAGTCGTGACAGCCTTCCCTTAAATCTCTGTATAAATAAACACAATACGATACTTTACTTTAACTGCACTTTGCAAATATTAAAACTAAAATTTTGTTGCATTACAGATGAAATTGGAGGAGACAGTGAACTTGTCTTGGAAGACGTGACAGCTGAGGGCTTTGTATCAGCAGACTTTGCTGAAGGCTTATCTGTGGAGAGAGCTAGATCCGCACTTTATGCGGCAGCTCGGCTACACGCTCTGTCTCTTGCTTTACGCGAACGAGAAGGTCCACTAGACCAGAGGTTTGATTTTCTATTTCCTTGTGAGCGGGCTGCGGCAGGTTATTTACGTCTAGTTCGAAGAGGCTTACCACAGCTTGAAGCATTTCTTCGAGGTCGTACGGATTGTACAGAAGAAGCAGCGGCAGTATCGGCTTTAAGTGCACGAGCACCTTCTCTCCTTGGCACCTTACTACGACCTGCGGAACCTGCACCGCTAGCTCATGCAGATTTCTGGAGCGGCAATTTATTATTTAGAGAAAGAGAAGGTGAAAGTGAGTGTATTGCACTCGATTGGCAGATGGTGTCGTTAGGAAGACCAATGGACGATGTAGCACTATTACTCCTTTCTTCTCTAACTCCTGAAATGAGAAGAGCTGCAGGTGATTCCTTAATAGAAGACTACGGAAACCGTTTAGAGGCCGAATGTGCTAGATTGGGAGCTGCCCCGTCAGGAGCAGCTGTTAGACGCGGGTTGAAGCCTGATTGGCCGAGAGCAGCGCTTAGAGCGCTTCTACTGTGTGCGGGAAGTGTCGATGTGGCTTTAGGAGAGCCAAGAGCTGAAAGCAGACTACTAGAAGCTGTCCGTGATCTTCACGTGCAAGGCATACTTGCACTCAAACCTGACTCTGATGCGTGATTGATATGACATGTGACGACAACGAGTGCCAAGAAATTTAAATTATTCGTGATTATTCTGACATCAATTAAGTCCAGTTATGTATCTGATAATTAGATATTTGTTGCAATATATCAAAGCACAAAATAAGTTTGTGTATTCGTGGATTATTTTTGTATTATTTGAGTAGTGACAAAAATTGTTTGATGGAGACGCTCGTCGCCTCGATGCGGAGCGATGCCTAAACAAAGACTGAATTTACTTAATTAAATCATGTCTACGACCTACATAAGTATGGTAAATTTTGTAGGTAACTATTGCTCATCGTAACAAGTCGTAAAAGCAAATATTAATTTCGGTCTATTGACTATTATTTAAATAAAATAAATAAATATTGGTACCCATTATTGACGTTTCATTTGTGTTTTATTTAATTTATTTTTTAGTGTGTGAAAATAAAATGTATGTATATATTATGAACCTTATTTAATAGAATGAAGTATATTACCTATATCACAAAAATTAACAGTTAGCTTAGATTTTTTTTTATTTAAAATAAAATAATAACTTTTTTACCAAAAGCTAAAATGCACTTGGTTAGGTAAAAATCTATTTAATATAATTATGTAGTGTAAGGTTGCATTTTTAACCGACTTCCAAAAAGGAGGAGGTTATCAATTCGTCGGAATCTTTTTTTTTCTTTTTTTTTATGTATGTTCACCGATTACTCGAAGACGCCCGAACCGATTTGGAAAATTTTTGTTTCGTTTCAAAGGGTATACTTCCCAGGTGGTCCCATATAATTTTTTATCGAAATCGGTAGATCGTTTTTTTTTTAAATCAACAATAATTATTTTTTTATAATAAATTGCTTAGTCGAATATGTTATTAAAAACCTTTCTTCTTACAAATTACCTGCTTATTACGTCTGCACTAAAAATGGAAAAATAAAAACTTTTTAACAAAAAATAAAAACCAAATTCCAGGCACTAAAATGTAAAAAATAACTAAACGGAGCTTTTCATTTAGAATAGATACTTAATCAGATATTTTCGAAGTCGGTGCCAGCCTACAATATTTTGAGATATGAATATCTAATAGGTAAATATGTATTTTATGTATCGAAATATATGTATTAGATTTGCTTTGCACGGCTGGCACTGACTTCGAAAATATCTGATTAGGTATCTATTCTAAATGATAACCTCCGTTTAGTCATTTTTTACATTTTAGTGCCTGGAAGTCGGTTTTTATTTTTATTTTTTTAGTTTTTATTATATATTGAGTGTTTTAATAGAAAATAATATATTTAACTAATTTGTAATGATTTATGTATAAGGCATTTACTTATGTGACCTTGGCCGATAGGAATGTGATTTAAAAAAATAAAAAAGGGCGCGGATATTCATTTGTTTTTTCCGCGCTTTTGCTCAGAGATGTTGAGTACGAATTGTCTGTAATACTGAAAATTATGATTATAAATTATGTAACTCACTGACGATTATAAAAGTACTGAATATAAGAATATAAGCAAGGAATATCTCGAAGTTTTATCAGGGACCCTACAGTAGTGATACAATACTAGCGTTTTACCTTCGCTTTGTTTGGATGAGTTCCTAGGTGCTTAACAGGAGGTTGTATGTTACTCAAGATCATAGTATTATCTGTGCATACAAAACCGTCCAGCTCGTAGATAGATAACTGTTTACGTTCCATGTGTTTCAGTTCAGCGTCAAAGAGTACCAAACATACACACATACAAACTCTCGCTTATATAACAGTAATTCGATAGTTTGATATAAAATACTAGCTACTGCTGGTCAACATATCCTCATTTATATTGTTTCTGATTGAAATATCCATTCGCTTTCAAGCACATATGAATTATAAACATAGACGTAGAGAATGGAGTATGGATTGAGCAATAGGTACTCTCATTAGATTGACCACTCTCAAAAAGAAACAAAGCGAACATGCGACCAATAAATAACCTGTCTTTTTATTCCAATTTGAATTTATAAATGAATGTAAAAAAAGTCCTATTATAATATATTAAAAACTATGATTTAATGGTATTTCAATGAATACAGAAGACTTCTGGCCGCACATTCGTTTTGTCTCTTTCGCGCCTTTTCTCCATTTTTAGCTGATGGCCGGCAATAGAACACTCTCTACTCTCTATTTCTAGGATTATAAACATATAAAATTATCCAATAATACAGCAAATAGCAATCGAACAGACGACACTTATGTAAACATTTTAAGCTGTTGTTTTCTATCACATCCAGTACATTAGCCAATAAAACAATATCTAACAAATGTGCAATATACAAGTAAGACTGTATTGCAGTTTTATTATTATATTTAGGTATAGGTAATAATAAAATTACAAGTTACGTCGTTTTTTTAATTATATTTTTAGCCCCATAGCTTTAGATCAGTGCCTATTATTTATGGTTAGAGATTTAACGCCTATTAAATTATGCCAACAATCTGTCAAACACTACTCAAGACTCAAGTGTCAAGTTTCCAAATTGACCTTCGCAGTTCGCAACTTCGTAGGATTTAGTTATTTTATTGGAAATGATGTTTTTTTAGTTATATTCGACTTAGCAAATCATATGTAGCTAAAGTTATGGCTCAAGCAAATCAAGTGAACCTCGATATAGAGGATGAACCGGCAGAAGAAAACAGTAATCGTAATAATGCAATACATAGGATGGATTCAGTTTCCAGACCATTGGCTCCAAATAGAAGCAATATAGGCCTTGGAGATCGTCTGAACAGTGTCTTTAGAGAAATTAGGCCTCTCGTGGAACATGCAAGAATGGTAAATCTTTACATTATTTCGTATGTTTTTCTATTTGTGACGCAATGCAATCGCAAGTTGTCTCGAGCTATGTAGGTTCTATTGCAGAGTTATTATTCCTTATCACAATTAAAAATTATTGACTATTCTCATGTGTATATGACGTATGAAATTGTAAGGAAAAGTACGAAAACATTTAAATAAAGTAGTAAACAATTATCATCACAGGATGTTATTGTATTATACAACAGAATAGTAAATTCCTATTCAATCAAAATGTTAGTAAGTACTTAGGTAGAAAAAGTTAATTAGTCTTGGAAAAGTCACATAATTAGAAGTATATTTTATGGAAATAATGATTAATAACATAATTTTATTTACAATATCTATTTTATTATTATATTAACAATTATGGTACTGGCCAAAAGTTTAAGACCACATATAAAAATCTTTATCGTCTACAAAATATTTTAAATTATGTAATATGATATAGACCAAATCTGAACATCTGCATATTCTATTTTTATTAAAAAATTTCAAAAAAGTCTAATCTTTTTGTATAATTAAGTTATCATCCTATGAACTTTTATTGTTTTAAAACAAATGAGTGTTGCGTGAGGACCAGGTGGTAGAGTTATTGTAATATTTTAATGGCCTGTTCATTACTAAATATTTTGGCTTTGTTTTGCATTAACTAAAATTCAGGTTTATTTTAGTTTTCTGAAACAAATTTATTACCTTAAAAGTACCATCAAAAGTGTGCGAAATTAGCAGTGAAATTCATCATGGCTACCAACAAGTGGAATAGATGCCTAACAACACCAGAAATATGCAGAAGTGAACACATCCCGATCTAAACATGTATTAGTAAAGTAAAAAGAATTCAGAGATGCTTATTTGGTTGAGTCGCCCTTCGAAGACCCTACTTAATCCACAAAACAAAAACGAAAGTGATCCAGTGCACCCTTACTCATGGTTATATGATGAAGCAGACCTTTTAAAAAACAGTAATTCCATGAAACTGGAGATTTGATATGAATCGAAGAAATTTTATATGAAGAAATAGTATAAACTAATCCCACAGTAATTTTTTTTTTATGGGACTAAGGGGGCTAACGGGCAGGAGGCTCACCTGAAGAAGTGATCACTGCCGCCCATGGACATCTGCAACACCGCAGGGCTTGCAGATGCGCTGCCGGCCTTTAAGGAATGAATACGCTCTCTTCTTGAAGGTAGCCAGGTCGTAGTGGTTCGGAAAGACCGCCGGCGATAGCTGGTTCCACAGAGTGGTTGTGCGGGGCAGAAAATGCCTTAAAAATCGCACTGTTCTGGAACGCTGGACATCGAGGTGGTGTGGATGGAATTTGATATTTTGGCGCGATGTCCGATGGTGAAATTCAGCAGCCAGGATCAGTCCGAACAATTCCTCGGAACACTCCCCGTGATAGATGTGGTAGAAAATGCAGAGTGATCCAACATCTCGCAACAGCACGCAGAACTAAAGGATCAAGCCGATCGGAGAGAGCTTGATCGTCGATAACTCGAATCGCCCTACGTTGAATGCGGTCAAATGGAAGTAGCTGGTACTGGGGAGCTCCCGCCCAAAGATGAGAATGTGGGGCCGAATTTGCGCCTTATAAAGAATAAGACGCTGACGCGACGTGAAGTACTGTCTCGCCTTGCTGAGCACACCAAGCTTCTTTGAGGCCAGTTTGGCCTTACCTTCCAATTGACCACGGAACTGGAAGTTGCTCGAGATGTCAACGCCAAGTATTCCGATACTGGCTGTGGGAGACAGAGGAGTGTCCTCAAATTGAGGAGCTACGATAAATGGCGACTTTTTAGCGGTTAACGCGCAAACTTGTCTTTTTGGGGTTGAATTGGACTAAATTTCCGTACCGTTCAAGATTAATTGGAAATAGATTTATTTTCCAACAAGATAATGATCGAAAATATAGTTCGAAATGAAAAAATATAATGTGTGGCCCCCTCAGAGCCCATATCTATACCCAATTAAACTTTTATGAGAAGAGCTTGACAGAAATGTGTGCAGCAGTTGTTGTAGGGACAACATTCAATGTTTCTAAAGAGACCATAAATTGATTGCTTGTATGCCGAGAGTAGTGAAAAAAATAGTAAAATGAATGATATTTCTTGATTTTTTCTTTTCTTTTTGAATTATGTGTATAAGTAAATAAGTATTTTATTTAATAATTAAACGGCTTACTTTATGTTTTGAGTTTTATTTCATTTTTCTACATTGATTATGGTGGTGGTGATCCAACTTTTGGCCAGGAATATATATTTTATTTATAAATAGTATTAAATATTTTCTTCTCTTTAGGGAAATAATGCCCGACTATCCCTCCCAACGTGGCTTCCAAGAAATCCACCTGGCACACACCAAGCCGGAGAGGGTCCACAACGTCCACAAAGTTCTATAGCTCATGTAAATTTAGGACCTACTTCCCAAACATACATAGTTAATGATAGGGGTACAGCTATAACACAAAGAAGTACAAGTCAAGGCATGAGTAATAGTGCATCAAATGATTCAAATTTATCAGAACAAGCCGAAGAACAGGCGGAAATAAATATTTCGGTGAATCCATCAAATAATAATAATATTCATGATAATGCAGATAATGATAGCCAGAGTGAGGATGGAACTCAGCAGGTAGGTACTTTAAATTATTATCATTGTATCAAAATTGTATAAGATATAAAACCTCATTACAAAAGTTGCGAAATTTTATTGTGTTTTGCTATTATATATCTAGCTTACAAGTATATAAAAATTTATTATATCAAATAAGAGTATAATAGATTAATTAAATGTAGTTATGCAAATAAAAATTGACCCTCAATTCATATAAAATAAATTGCTTACACAGTTAACATTCCAATGGTGCCATTGCCATTCTTAAAGAATCTAAACTTTATACTGACCCAAAACATAAAAATTTCTCCATCTTTGTGTTTTGGATTAAGTCCACTTTGCATAACCATTCCATTTATTGACTCATAGTACTATATAGATCATTTTTACATTAAAAACTTACAAACTTTAGAAATTTAAACTACATATACTATAAAAATTAATTTGAAGAGGGTCACATTAAACTTTAAAATTGCTATTAAGCATCAGTTTTGTTTCTACAATAGAGAAGATTACTGCCTTGAATATTATTTTATTTTTAAATGAATAATATATATATGACGTGTTATCCATATGCTACGAACATCATCATCATTGGTGGTGATCTCATCTTGTGGGCGTAATCAGGGATTAAATAATAAAGTATTCAATGCTAATACACAATTTAATCAGGGAAATCACAATGTTATAGACTTGAAACGGTAATTCTAATGATTTAGAGCTAGCGGGTTCACAGTTACCGATCATCGACTTCCAACTACAATATCAAACATAACTATCTATGATCCACCATGATCAACCAACGTTACTAAGCCACGTATCTCCAAAGAATGTCGTGATGGCGTCTCGACCCCGCTCGAGACTAAATCTCTGCTCTAAATTCAAAATCAATTTAAAAGCAATAAAAAGGAAATTAAAGAACATAGTGACTTATTGTTAATAAGGCTTCATAACAGAAAAAGGTCCTGCTGTTCACACGCCCTCGTGTGATCTTGAAAGTCTAGCATAAACGTCATGTATAGACAGAAAAAGCAAATTTTAGAAAACATAGTTCGGCCAATCCTGACCAAATATGACCACAGTGGCCAATCTCACTGAGACTAATAATCGGTGCAGTAGATATTATAGTGAAAAAGTTTACGTACGGACAGACACCAGCTCACTCCCTATTCTTTTGACTCTATCCGATGTACGAAATATCAAAATGTGTATTGGGTCCTTTTTTAGCCTTATATGTTATCAATTAATATAACGATTGACATCATATTTTACTTATTCTCTCTAAATAGCTTTCTTTAAGAAAAAATTCTCAAAACTTAATTTTTAAACTGACTGAAATACAACTTACCATTGAGTACAAGTTAAAGAAGTAAGTGTCTCATATTATGTCAATCAAGTTAAGTTGGTGCCACACAAATCAATCGATGCGACATAACCCTACCGATGCCACATAGACAACTCTCGCCATTCAGGCTACATGTGCCACCAAGTTACTTTTGCCACACAGGCAACTCTAGCCACTCAGGCCAGTCGCTGCCTCACAGGCCACTACTCCGGCGACTCTCGCCACTAAAACTACATTTGCCACACAGGCTTGTCAATGTTACATAACCACGTCAATTCAGTCACCCTAGCTTGTGCTACGTAGGTTCATTAGTGTTAAGCTGCTAGATATTATTGGAAATAACTAAAATTACAACCGTCTTTAACGGTACATTCCGATATCAATTGCCTGACACATCTAAACAAAACGGAAACGTCTCACCATATAAAATTCACATTAGATTAAATAAAACATCCACAGATATCCATTTTTGGCATAGCCCAAGCATCTCCGGACACCGTCTTCTTTTAGGGCATTGTATACGTCTCATGTGGTCTGGCTTAGCGTGATTTGTTTATCTTGCTGAAGAAATCGTCCTCTCTACGCTAAATACATATTTTGAACACTTGAAACAAAGCACCTGAAAATTCATATTATTTAAATTGTGCCACATAGTTGTTACTACCATCGACCCGATCTAATTATGTTTAATCTTTAGACCAAATAAGGACATGTGAAATCGGTATTATAACAAAGATTTCTATCTCAGCCTGCGTATGAGAATATCTTCGGAGTGTACACAAACATCAGTTCTTCGCTGTATCACCATTAATACAGTTGACTATTTCTCATATTTCACTAGATTTTTTTTTGTTAGATATAAACATCACTTTTATACCACCTCGATTATAGTATAATCTAAATAGTTAAATCTGTTAGTCAAATTTGTAAACAAAAATATCAACTCATTATTGTCTCTTCCTGAAATATAATTCCTGAAATAATGGACATATAAAGCAAACAATTACAATATAAAACATTTTTGACATTCTAAAATTCTTTTCATCATTCGTAATTAAAAAGGAGGTCCTTATAGACTTCATCGAACACAAACATTTAAAAAATAATTCTCGTAATTTATCGATTAAATAAATTAACTTCATATAACATCCTGAAATAAACAAATTTTCCATTTACTTTCTCTATACATATTGTGTTCAAAAATATTTCTGTGATAATAATATCAAGAAAATGAAATCCAGCTAGCAACAAATCTATGTCGACGTCATGTCATTCCATAAAAATTTAATTGAGACATCTATGATTATTTTAATCTTTTGAGCATCTTGCATATATCATATCATCATGATTCATCATTATCAAAGTAAAAGTAAATCTTCTGTAAAAAAACCCGCATATGCATCGCCATTTTGTGCGTCCTTTTTAAAATTTGACATCGCATTTCGTTTCAAAGTCTGAAAAAATTTTTGCAGCAAAATTTTCAAATGGCCGCTTTGCCCTGTTTTCGGGTATCATCCCACTTCTGATGACGTGTTATCCATATGCTACGAACATCATCTTTGGTGGTTACTCATTTTGTGGGCGTAATCAGAGATCAAATAATAAAATATTCAATGCTAATACACAATTTAATCAGGGAAATCACAATGTTATAGACTTGAAACGGCAATTCTAATGATTTAGAGCTAGCGGGTTCACAGTCACCGATCATCGACTTCCAACTACAATATCAAACATAACTCTCTATGATCCACCATGATCAACCAACGTTACTAAGCCACGTATCTCCAAAGAATGTCGTGATGGCGTCTCGACCCCGCTCGAGACTAAATCTCTGCTCTAAATTCAAAATCAATTTAAAAGCAATAAAAAGTAAATTAAAGAACATAGTGACTTTAAACAATAGGTAATAAGGCTTCATAACAGAAAAAGGTAACTAAATCCTCCTCCGTCATATATATATATATATATATATATATATATATATATATATATATATATATATATAATATATGATGATGATGATGTTCTCCTAGCCGATTCCGACCACGGCGGCCAATCTCAATGAGATTAGCCAACTGCGCAGGAGATATTATAGTGCTCAAGTGTACGCGCAGACACAAGTGCACTCTCTATTCCTATCACTCTCATACTCCGGTGGGACGACCACTCGACACGACCGGTGAGAGTTAAGGCGCAGGACCGACGGCTTTACGTGCTCTCCGAGGCACGGGGGTGAAACACCGCCAACTTCCCAACTCCGGGCTGTTACTGAGACTTACTATACAGGAAGACTCAATAATTAAACTTGGCCCGACCCGGGACTCGAACCCAGGACCTCCGGGTGTGCAGCCGTACATGCTAGCCACTACACCACCGAGGCAGTTATATATTATATATTTATATATATATATATATATATATATATATATATATATATACCTTGAATAAGTCTTGAGCAATCATTTGAAACCTCTATAGACTATGTAATCCAAACAGTACTTACAGATTTTTTAAATATAACTTTGATTTTTGTAAATCATTTATACCTGTTTATATATACATATTTAAAAATAATGTTTATTACAGTTTTGCATAATTCATTAATGTTTGAATAATTTTTTTTAGGTAGTAGATGTAAGGGCAACTTTAAATCTGCTGCTCCGCTATGCTCCTTTCTACTTCATACTGTTTGTAAAGTATTTATACGACAGTCGGGAAGGTATTATTACTTTCATCATATTACTATGCACATTCCATCACAGTGACAGCATTGTTACAAGGTAAGTGTTTTATTTGATAAACTAAAAATTAAAAAAAAAACTCGACCATCTTGGACCGATTTTCATGAAACTTAGGTAAGAACACTCCTGACTTATTCACCTTTCAAACAAAAAAAAAACAAAATTAAAATCGGTTTATCCGTTCGGGAGCTACGATACCACAGATAGGCACAAATACACATAGATATGTCAAACTTATAACACCCCATCGTTTTTGCGTCGGAGGTTAAACCCCGTCCCTAGGTACGTTTTAACGGTTAGTATGGATATCCCACGGGAACCGTATATTTTTCCGGGATAAAAAGAAACCTATGTGCTATACCAGGCTATAATCTATCTCTGTGCCAAATTTCATTCAAATCCGTTCAGCCGTTCTAGTGTGAAAGACTAACAAACATCCATCCATCTAAACTTTCCCATTTATAATATTTATGAGATTGTTTAAGAACAGAAAATATATTAGTTTCATTATATTATTTTATTATGTAGAAAAAAGATACTAACATTGTTTTAAAGTTATATTGACATGTGTTAATTTTAAAAGTTTTGAATGAATGAGTAAATATTTCGAATAGTTTTATCTAAAAAAAATATTAATTGCATAAACTACTAAGTCTCTCAACTGTAGTATGCCATATGAAATAATAATCCTAATATTTTTTTGTAAAAAAAACTACATATCTTTCACAGAGAAAATGGCAAACAAATGAACCGAAGCTTGGTATCATTATTTAGTGAACTCACATTTACAACCAGTTGCATTTTAATAGTACACTTCTTATTTGGGCATGGAAAGTTATTACCTAATGTGGTAATGTTCCCGAGCTACACAGATCCCATAAGTGTATGGGAGTTGCTGTGGCTGGTTGTGTTGACGGACCTCATAGTGAGAATAATCACTGTGAATCTCAAGATATTGATTACAATGATGCCAGCTTTCATTTTGCCATTCCAGAAAAGGGTGAGTAAATAATATTTTTTTTTGTTGATTATATAGTTTTACCCTATAAATTATGTTAAGATGGATTTTTTTCTTTTGAATAATTATTTGAAAAATTTTAACAAATTATAATAACATATTGTTCCAACACCAAAAAAAGTATATTTTCTTCAAATTTAAATGAGAATAGTCTTAATACTATCCCCAAAACAATCAACAAACAGACAGAAACGTATTTTCGATTTTATTATAAGTATAGTCATCTTATGATTTATTTCAACCATAAAAAATCTTATTTCTTTATAATTTCCCTTTCAGGGTAAAGTATATTTATTCACAGAAGCAATGTCGCAGCTGTATCGCAGCCTGCTAACGGTACAGCCTTGGGTTTTCTATTTATTGGAGTCGTACGAGGGCTCAGAGAAAATGGTTGGCATGTTCCTTACATGTATATATGGAATTTCAAAGCTTTTTGAACTTCTATTTAGATTGAGATTGCTTAAGCATGCTGTTTGGACGCTTTTGCAGAGTGTGGTGAGTATTTTTCATTTTATTCATTTGTTATTTAGTTATCCATAAATTATGTCACACGAATTCAATGATTTCTTGAACTACGAATATACTACTATATTTGAATGCACGCTTCCTGCTTACCGCGGGCAGCGCGGGAGCGGGGCGGTAAACGTGCGGCATATTGCGTCGCAATACGGGCAGCCAGTAAAACCGTTGATACCGAACGTAAATGTCCAAGATTTTTTCAAGTTTCTGCAAGATTCAATTGTTTTACACCGAAAGCATAAGTATAATAAATAAATAAATATGTTGGGACATTAACACACAGCACTATCTAGTTCCATGATAAGCTACGAGGCTTGTGTTATAGATACCAGATAGTTGATACACTACATATATACATATATCCTTATATACATACATATTATAAATATAAACACCCATGGCTGGAGTACAAACATTCGTGCTCATCACGCAAATGAATGCCCCCAGCGGGACTCGAACCCGCGACCGCTGGCACCGAAAGTAGGGTCACTACAAACTGAGCCAAACGTGTCGTCAAACCGACATACATACCGACAGTATACTCGGTAACGTAATACCGCATATACGAGTAGACACCACACCGCCAAGTCAGGAAGGGGCCTTACTGTTAACTCTATATCCTGAATTATTATTTTTAACAATAAAAATGTCCTTACAAAATATGTATCTATAAAATCAGTTTATTGGACATTTTCCATTTATTTCCTTTCTTTTTACTAGTTGTTTTATTCTGAAATTACTGTATTATCCCGAATTCTCATGCAAACTATCAAATTTATACGATAATTAATACTTTCTTAGATTTACGCGAAAATATGACATATTAAAATAAAACTATCTTCTCGGATTGTTTCGCGGTTTTATTTTGATTTTTGGTTCCCGATCATTATCACGGGAGAGACTGGCCAAGCATTCGAAACGTCGGGAATCAAATTTCAAAATAAATCCGCGAGATAATCCGATAAGATTTTTTTTCTTCTATATGATAATGATTATAAAGCTAAAACTATAATGCTTATACAACTTTATGTACATTTTAATATACATTTTATATGTAAGTTAAGCTAATTCCTAAAGAAATCTATTATATTTCAGAATCTAGGCACCAAGCCGACCTGCGAACAACTGGTGTCCGCCGGTGACTCCTGTCCCATATGTCACGACGACTACACAACCCCAGTGCGTCTTGGCTGTAGCCACATATTCTGTGAACTCTGCATAGCCGCTTGGCTGGATAGAGAACACACTTGTCCACTATGCCGTGCCAAGGTCGCAGACGAACCAACTTGGCGGGACGGATCCACTACGTATGACTTTCAACTTTATTAACCTGGCCGTACAGTTCAATATTGTAAGTATTAAGTATATTGTTTTTAAGTCAATACGTCTTGTACGTGTATATTATGTCGTGCCAAGGTCGCAGATGAACCTACTTGGCGGGACGGATCCACTACATACAACTTTCAACTTTATTAACTTGGCCGTAGAGTTCAAGTTTGTAAGTATTGTTTTTAAGTGAACACAAGTGTTTGTCGTGCCAAGGTGGTGGAAGAACCGAGTTAGCGGTTTGATTACGTATGATTTTCAACTTTATTACCTTGGGACTAAAGTTCAACTTTGTATATCATGTACCTATCTACATTGTTGTAAGGCATACGTTGATACTGATTTCCGAACAAATTTCGGCATTTTTGAAATATGTATAAATATATCTAAATAGGAAGTTTGTTAATTATTTTTAATACTTTTTAGTACATAGTTTGATCTGTGTTAAAAAGTCTTAAATAACTACATTTAAGATATTTTAGTTTTATCGCTTATTTTGAAATTTGAGTGTTATTTGAAAAGTACACATGCATTTGTAATATGTTAAAAAAACCCTAATAAATACTTAATTTGATATATACCTAAAATTATCAATATATCTTACTGTTAGAGCCGTTCCACACTATAGTGCCGATCACTGTCCGTTCTCAGTCCGATATCAGTCTGGTAAAGTATTTTTATACAAGAATCGATGCTGGAGTGTGATTCGACAGGAACTTCACTCTTAGGGCCGCTCCACACTAGTGCCGATCACAGTCCGTTCTCGGTCTGGTATAAAGTATTGTTATACAAGAAACAATGAGTGCATTCACACTATTAGTAAGACTTACGTTCCAGTCGAATCACGCTCCAGCAACGTTTCTTGTATAGAAATACTTACCAGACTTGTATCGGACCGAGAACCGACTGTGATCAGCCCTTAGTGATAGTGTGAATGCACTCATTTTTTCCTTTATAAAAATACTTTACCAGAACGAAAAGGGACCGAACACAAACCGTGATCGGCACGATAGTGTGGATCGGGCCTTAATGTGAAGCTTTCATTTATATTAGCATTTATTACAAGTAACATTTATCCTTGTCGCGTCCCTCACTTAGTTTTTTTATCTCTATCCCTCGGGAACACAATGTTGGGATACTCAATAGCTTAATCATATTCTGTGAAATAGCTTTTTCTTTTTTGTGTCAATTTTAAAAGCTTTTATTTGTTTGGATGACAATGTATAGTTAGACAAGTGACGTCATTCTAAATCGAGTATGGCGGACTATATACGGATAACAAAAGGTTAGCTGAGAAAAATATGAATAACTAAAAAATACAAAAATAAAATATGTAATTGTAAAAAAAACATTTTTATAAATAAGCTTGTATTTAAATGCTCTTAAAAGAAGAAAATATACTTTAAATTAAATCATACCCATCAATTTATTACATTTACCTATGTAGATAAAAGAGAAATAAAATGTAAAAATAAGTTTTTTTATAAAATAGGTAAATCTCGCGACAAGCTGTTAAGTAAATTGAAATGTAATGTGTAAATTCAATAACTAAAGTTTGCCCTACCCCGAACTTGAGCCCATACCCTTTGGATCTGCAGCCGTACATGCTATCTACTAGGCAAACAGTCCAGTTAACCTTGTAACAAATCTATAACGTACTAGCGACTCACACTCCCTTCTACATTGCTTCCCAGTACAAACTTTCAGCCCCATTTTCACCCCCTTAAGGTATGATTTCCGGGATAAAAAGTATCCTATGTCCTTCCCAGGGTCTCTAACTATCTTTTTACCAAATTTCATCTAAATCGGTTCAGTAGATTCAGAGATTACCCCCAACAACTTCACAAACTCACAATTCACAAACTTTACCTCTTTATAATATTAGTATAGATGAATGCGTGAGTCAGTAACATATAGTGAGTAATCCTTGATATGGTGTTTTTAATCAAAACAAATCTAATCAGAGCTATAAAGATTAACCATATGGATTAATATGAAGAACAGATGTTTTGACTTTATTTTTAAAAACCTTTGATTTTTATCTGATTAATATTTAAAAACATTTCAAAATAATAGTTGAATAACAAAACAAACTTTGTACTATGATTGTGTATTTAGTAATTACAGATAAAATTTTATGTATGACGTGCTACAACATTTTTTGCGATTGCGATGAAACTGGCGGGTCTACGCCTGTGAAGGTTCCGGGCCTAGATAAAAAAAAATTTCTTTGGATGTTTGTATTTTATGCGTACCTAAACCATTCCACCCACCCAGCGCAACCGAGCGAAGCGAGTATATACAAATAATATACATATAGAATAATATAATATATACAAAATACAAAATAAGTTGTAAAGTGTCTTTCGTATTTTGAAATATCGCTTTTAGTAAGTATCAGAATTTCTTTTTTTAGAAGAACTTCTCTGGTCATTTTTGTATCCTAAATAAAAGGTTCCCATGGGATAAGAGATAATATTCCCGCCCATTCCATTATCAATTTAAATAAAAAAATATGAATATTTTTTATTTTTCTTAAGGGAAGGTATTATGACAGTGTTGACTGATGTGGTTGTCTTTAAACGTAGGCCTATGAATTACTTTGAGCTCTCTTTAGTATGAAACGTATGCAATAACCCTAATTAATAAATCGTAATTAGCGTTTGATGTTGAAATTGTATAAATAAATATATAACTTACTCAATTTTCCAGTGTTTATTGTTGGAATGTTCGTAACTGCAAAATTAGATTTCTTTAATTGAAGTAAAACTTCTTAAGGTTTGACTGAGGGGTAAGTCATTGGAATTTGGATAATACATTAGAAAAATGAGTGTCGCGGAAGTGAGAGTCAAATTTATTATTAATAATTTTAAAAAGATATACATTTTTATTATAATTATTACTTATAAAAATGAATATTTATTACTAATAATTTTATAAAAAATATATTTATATTTTCATTTGTTTTAATTTAATTAAGTTATCTGCCACAGCGCCAAAGAAGTTTTACTTCAACCGCGTGTAAAGGTCAATTTTGTGGTAACATTACTTTTTTGCTCGATACGTTTCTGGCTATTGCATGAAATGTCAATACAATCAGATTATTATTCAGAAAGTCAGTGATTATTTTCTTGTCTCCATTCAAGAGTATAACATTTTTATTACTTTAAGACAAAAAAAAAATTGCATGCCTTCTAATAATTTAACTACATGGTAAAGTATAAAATGTCGCAGGTTCGATTTTCATTCAAGACAGTTTTGTATGTTTATTATATTATGGAATTATCACGGTATGCTTTGAGCGTTTAAACTTACAGCTAAAATAGTTTACATATTAAATAAAACAATAATGAAATTGTATTAATAACAATTCAATAACAATAATTAAGCATTTAAATTAGTTATGTTTTTCCAAATAGACCTTATTAAGAAAAATAATGATTTGACTAGAAGCTTATTGATCTAAGAATGTAAATTGTAAACATGGACTTTCAAGAATATTTATAAAAATTCCAAACTAATATTAAATAAAATGTAGCCCTATTTTTTTTTATTATAAGTAAATAATGTACATCTGTACATATGTAAATAGCTTTCGAATAATTGTATGTAAGTATAAGAAAAAATATTTCATAAAAATAATTAAGTGTTGATTTCTGATGTTACTTATATTATATACCTTACCTGAGATAAATCAATGGTCGAAATATAACAATGTATTGAAAATAAAAAAAAAACTGCATATTTTTGCATGTAATGTAAATAGCGTAGTAAAATAACTGATTTTCAATTTTTCAAAAAGAAGTATTAATTTAAAATATATAATGTATGTAAATAAAATAAAACTTATATATTTTTTTTATAAAATTTTATAAATAACAAAATTTCAACCAATATGTTAGATAATTTTTTTTTTCAATTCTCATACTTATGTAAAATATTTGTATTTTATATATTATATTTATTTAAATTATGTCAATACCTATTTTAATTTATATATTTATTTGTATGAAAAAAGATGTATATTCTCACCATTGTGATTTGTGAATTATAACATTTTTACACAATTATGTTATGAAAGAAAAATTACAAATTAATTATTTTGCATCTTTTTTAGATATATTTTATTATTTTAATTTAATGTTCCGTCAACCTAAAATTATGTAATATTGAAAAAAAATGTCTAATTTTTCAATATGTAATTAAATTATAAAAATAATATGTAAATAAGAACAATACAAATTATGCTTTAAATTGATTGTATTTATAAATAAATAAAAAAGTCTTTATAAATAAAATTTATTGTTAGCGATGTTCAATAACAAATGAGGTACTTCTTATTGGTAAATTGTAGTTTGAAAGAAAAAAAACATAAAATAAAGCATTTAAAGTCCTCTGCCAAAAGACATTATATTAGATATTTTGAATAGATTATAACATAATTAATAACTATATGTAATTCCAGATTGTTGCTTACCTGCCTAGTTTTATTTTAGTATTATATTTTTCAGAGGTTTAAAAACTAAGTCATATTATTCTGTTACCGCAATAATAATATTTAACAACAATGAATATATTGATGAAAAATTTACAACATCTTTTATTTTTCTGTATGTATCAAAGCAAATATATAAGGACACGAACAGAAATCAACAAGAAATTAAAGAGATCTTAGAATATGTATATTTTATTTCCCGAAAGGAATGTAGCTATATAGATGTGAAACATCTATGTATATAGGATAATAGACTTTGCGACCATGACCGTTCTACGCTATAATAAATCGACTCTTGTACGTACGCGCTCGTAGAATATATACGTTTGTAAAATCTCCATTGTAAAACAGTCTCTATTTAAAATACTTAAAATACTTACGAATTTTCTATTATATATATATATATATATATATTCCTATATATATATATATATATATATATATATATATATATATATATATATATATATATAGGAAAATCTTATTAAAATAAACATTATTATCGATACAGAGGCCGAAACTATAGTTTTTAGAATTTTTGTCTGTCTGTCTGTTACCGCATCACAGAAAAACCATTGGAGGGATTTTGATGAAATTTGGTATGGTAATAGCTGTTTATCCGGGTCAACATATAGGATACTTTTTACCGCGGGAAAATATCTTATTTTTGAGAAAAAATACAAAAACTGCAATAGAGTAATAGTATACTAATATGTAAAACCTAAGAATTTGGTTTTTGATCATCTGAACGCGGGCGGAGCCGCGGGCAATGCTAGTGTAATAATATTCCGTAATTATTACTATAATTACAATAATAAGAAAATTAAGTAAGTTTTATTAACGAAGCTCTACTTTTTAATTATTTTACTTCATCTTCCGTTATAGGTTTTTATGAATTCTAATTTAACATAGATGTTTCACATCTACCGGGCATCTCGTGTCGACCAACGTTTTTTATGTTAGAAACTGAAAACTTATACGTTTACTCGCAAGGACGGTTTTTGTTGTCTGTTCTCATGTCGAGTATTCAAATATTGGATGTATCATGTATTGTGTCTAAATAATAAATATGTTGATTAGAGATTTGTGAAATTATGCAATAATTAATTCCTCATGTTGTAATACTTATGTATTACTACGCGTACGCTTATGCGTAATGTGATAAATTATAAACTGAAACCAGATTTCAATATATATATTTTTTAATCACATTCATTTCACTCTTTTTTTCCATTTTAGATCATCTTTTTTTTAATTACTTTTTGGTAATGAAAGTACGAAAATACTGTATTTTAGCCCATAAACTCACCAGAGTTCCTTAAATATTCCTTAGATGTACTGAATGAAAAAAAATATATATTTACTAGTAAAAGCCCACGACTCCGATCGAGTGGTTGATTCAATGATATAAACTTTATAATTTATGCTAAACCAAGACATCGCCGTTCTAAATTCCATTCAAATTCATTAAGCCGTTATAGCGTTGAAAAACAAACAAGATCAACATATTCGTGAGTCATCAAAAATATAAACAACAGATAAAAAGAATTTTTGCAATATTTATTTTAAAATAGATTATATAAATAAGACACCAGATAAATTTAATCATATGTATTTTAATCATAGTTTACACATTATAATGTTTTATAGACACAGTAAGCTTAAAATTACTTTCCGCCTACAAACGTGAAAAATTAAATAATTTATATCAATAATAATAGCATTTATCGTAAAGTATCACAAATAAACAGCTTGACAAATAAACGAGAGTAGACTGGAACAAATTAGGGGGCAAAGCTACGCATTCCGCTCACGTTACTCAGTCGTATACACTTCAGACCATCAGTTTTCAAAAAACTGCCAACTTCACATAATATTCACTATTTATAGACATCGCTTAAAACTACAGTCCTTCTACAAAACGTGAAAAATTAAATAATATTTATTATTCAAAGTATCACAATAAGCGGGGGCACGGTAGAGAAACAGTAACCTGGAAACACCGAAGGGGTAAAGGGCGATCCGATCCGTACAATACTCAGTCGTTCACTCTCGCGAGACCCTCATATGGAACATCCCTCATGTATACACATCGAGATTGTTAAAATTAACTATACACAACCAGTCTTACACACTCAAGTGATCCCGTTCGTTACGACACTGGGGAGGTCTCAGCGTGTGGGTCGCGGGTCTCGCACGCCGTCGTGAGCTCCGCGGGGGCGGGGGGTGCTACCGCGGGGGGTGTCGGGTCTGAGGTGCCGGCTTCCGGGTCTGGGGGGTGGGCGGAGCCGTATAGGAAGAGGCTGCGTAGACGCGCTGCGGACCGTGAGGTCGAGGGTAGGTCGTCGGGCCAGCTGGCGGCGCTGGCGGCGCTGGCGGTGTCGCAGGCCACGTCGGCGGTGACCTCGAGGCGGTGCACGGCGGGCGAGGCGGCCTCGTGCCCGCCCAGAGACCCCGCCAGCCCCGCGAGCGACGGCGCCCGCACTTCGGCCTGCTGCGACCCCGCTGATAGTGATGCGTCGCCTGTGAAGATGATACGGTTTGTTTATAATAATATTTTATTACGTAAGATAATATTAGTTTGTAAATAATAAATCCATACATATAATAAAATTCAAGCTATGCCGAATCTGTACATTAAATATTTTTTGGAAAATCTTATTAAAATAGACTGTATTATCAATACAGACGCCGAATCTATAGTTTTTAAAATTTTTGTCTGTCTGTCTGTCTGTTACCGCATCACAGAAAAACCACTGGATAGATTTTGATGAAATTTGGTATAATGATAGCTGGTTATCCGGGTCAACATATAGGATATTTTTTACACCGGAAATATCTCATCTCTGAGAAATCTATACTAAAGGTTAAAACGTAGAATTTTATGTGTAAACGTAACTTTAAAACAATAACTAAACTGTGATTACTAATATTAAATTTCGGTAGGCCAATTATATAAACTTCATTATATCTCTAAAATGGTCTAACCAGTTTGAGTATCTATTTTTGTACCACTGCGACCGTCGCAGGTGTAGTCGTAAAGGAGTATATATAATAAGGTGGAGCGAAAAAAAATTGATTTCTTTTTCTTTGCTTTGGAGGTAGAATTTGTAGCTTAAAAAAAGATTTGAAATAAACATTTAAATTTGAGGTGGACTCAACATTTTGAGGTGGCCCACTGATTTTTAAAATAATAATTAATTTTAATTTTTGGTTTGATGGTTTTTTTTGTACTGATCATCTTTGAAAACATTTAAGAATCGACGAAAATAGTCATTTTCTACCCAATTTTCACTGTATATGTACAACCATTAGTGGGTTTAGGTTCGATGTCGCCCTAGGCCGAAATCGATATGGCGCCCTTTTTCTTTCGTAATAGTAGGTATATAGATTAACTATTTTAACAAAGAAATTCTACCCTTGATATGGTACTCTGTTTAGATTGTAAGAGCGCAAGAAAATAAACTTCAAAATTTGGTTTTACAATTTACAGAAAACCCAATCGATATTTAATTTCAGTAGTCTTAAAATTTTTGGCACCTTTTAAAATTTGCGGCCCTAGGCCCGGACCTTATGGGCCTACGCCTAAATGTTGTACAGTAAGCACTAACCGATGCTGGGTTCCAACCGCCTGGACACACCGTCCAGGTCGGCGTGGTCGAGGGCGTGGTCCAGCGTGTGGTCGAGCGCGTGGTCGAGCGCGCGGTCGCGGGGCTCGTCGGGCGGCGCGGCGCACCCGCCGGCGCGGCACAGCGACACCGGCACCACGCCGTACACGTAGAACAGCAGGATGGGCACGCCGATGCCCACGGCCAGCCCCGCCACCAGCGGCGACACTATCAGCTGTGGGGTATTGTTAATATTAATTAAATTCTACTGTTAATGGCTGTAAAACGTGCCAGTTGAGTAAAGATTACTTTGTAAATATCACGTAATACCTCTTAATACTTAAGGACAACACTTAATACTTGACATTTTAAAAGAAACAATTTTTTCGAACTTATATAGAATTCAAATGCCATGCGTTACTATAGCGTAATATTTTGTCCCCGATGCGGACGTTTCAAATGCTTTACATCAAACATGGTCATGGGAGAGAATAACATTTTTGACTTTACAACGTCATAAGTGTCTAGTAGACACTATTAGTGTTACATTCCAGATCATACTCCTATATATATATTAAATTTTATCGAAACATTTATCGAAACCCAACAAGAGAAGAAGTAACATACAGACACGCACAAATTATTCGCATTTATGAAATTCAAACAAAAAAGTAACGACCATCAGAAACCAAACAAAAAAAAACAAAAAAAACCACTGACAGCAGCAGCGACGGCGGCGGCGACGGCGGCGCGGCGGCGCGCGGGGCGCGCGCGGCGCAGGCGGCGGTGCGCGCGGCGCCCCGCCCACAGCGGCAGCCCCACCAGCAGCGCGGGCAGCGCCACGCCCGCCACTACCGCGATGCCCAGCGGCGCGCCCGCCAGCGTGCCCAGCTGCCACAGCAGCTTCTTCTTGCGCGACCACGGCTTCTTGCCCCAGAACGTGCAGCCGCTTGGACTGAGAAAAAATTATATCTTGTTTCTGATTTGTAGGAAATTATTGTAAAAATACATGGACCGAAATATGTTCATCTTTTTAATTAACGAATAGTGATTTGTAATCTATACTAATATTATAAAGAGGTATAGTTTGTATGCAGCCTGTGGGGAATAATCTCTGAAACTACTACATAATCCGATTCTGAAAATTCTTTTACTAATAGAGAGCTAAAGTACCGCCTTGTGCTTATAGGCTTTATTTTAGTAAAAAAAATGTTTACTGTCAGACATCATAATAACTTATATATAAGCTAATACTAATCTCTCTATCTTCCTTTCTTCGCATTTATCTATTATCTATATATACCATAATATCTAATATAAATATCTTTCCGAACTGGTAGTAGACTTATGACGTTCAGTAAAAAAATGTAATAATTTAATGCTGAATAAAATCCTATGTCTTTCCCAGGGTCTCAAACTATCTTCTTACTAAATTTCATCTAAATCGGTTCAGTAGATCCAGAGATTACCCCCTACAACGTCACAAACTTTACCTCTCTATAATATTAGTATAGATAAAACAAAGTCCGATTTGTTACAACACTTATAACTCGAGTAATGGACCTTGACTTAAACATCGGAAAAATTCACGAAAATTTTTTTTGTACAAAATATATATTCCATACTACCTGTCAAAACGTACATAGGACGAACCTGAGTGAAGCGAGGGTGACTCGCTAGTTAATAATAGAATTGGGCGGACTAATTTGCAATCAATTGTCAAATTTACAAATTTATATTTCTGTTTTGGTTGAACTTTTGATATTGGCTGTATTCATTATAATCAAAAGAATTTTTATGGATTTCGTCTATATCTATTTATAAATGTTAAATCATTTAATACTCATTTATTGTTATTTATTAGCGTGAGATCATCCACATTCGCATAAAAATTGTTTAAAAGTTGACGTAAATAATTAACCTTCAAAAATTTGTGTCATATAAATTCAATGATAAAATACCACTGTATAAAAGCTTAAAGCTTTAATGACTTATGCAAAGCTTTTACTACTGCTAAGTGATTAGTTAAATATATTTATATTTTTTACAAATAAAGTATAACTTTGGAGCTAAAAATCATGGTGTTATAATTATGTTAAATTCAGTCAATACTAATAAACACCTGAAGTACCTATATAATTCGTCAATTTAAAAAAAAATCTTGAAAACATACACGAAAAAAACCATATTTATTTATTGATAACTACAGACAGACAGAACGTCAAAAACTGCATGCTTTTAAACCAAAACTAATTTTTGATCGCGACTGCGCTCGTATAATAAATGACGTGAAAGAAAAGCAACTATGTCCGTCCCCATGATGCAATCTTTACCATATTCATCATTGAAAACAAAACCATGATGATTCATCAAAACCTATTCACCGGTAACAGACGAAGAGCATTAAACAACATTAGTCATTAGTCGGTTACTATTTTTAACCGATTTCCAAAAAGGAGGAAGTTGTATGTTCGTCTGTATATATACTTTATTATTGTTATTAGTATGGATAACTCACCTAAGATAGTGCAAATCTGAAACCTCCTTCATACAAAGCCAGCAGAACTCTGCCCCGCAGACGCAACACACCATGTGATTGCACGAGCCGTCCTCCTCCTTCACTATGAAAACCGAACACCGCGGGCACGGCTTCACTTCACCTTGAATTAAAGAATATCATTTGTAAACACTAAACATTTAAAGAATTAAAGTTCCTTAGAAATAATCAAATTATAACATATATATTTTAAATAGAACAACTTTTTCGGAATTTTTCAACTTTTTAGATTTTTTTTATACATCTTCACGGAAGAGACTTAAGATTTTCGACGTGTCAAATTAAAACCGCGTTTTTTTTTTAAATTTCAAATATTTTCGGTTTTGGTTTCAAATTTCAAATATTCGCTTAATCTTAGAAAGTATTATTATATAATAGATTTTTAAATTATTTTTAAAAGAGCTGTTGAATTTTTTTCAGGAGTTTTCTGAGCAAAACTGCCTTCAAGCCGGTGGTAGCTTCATATAGGACTTACAATACTTATTTTTAATTTAAATGTTTACATTTAAATTAAAAGTAAATATTCAATTTTAAATTGACGCAACAAAAGCGCTCATAAAAATTGAATAAATTACATTTTTATTATTCTTTGATTTAATTCATATTCCCACGTCATATGCGTGGGTTAAATTTTGTTCTGGTTGAAAACAAACAACAATTTTCCCGTCTAATAAAAGTCGAACTCGTGTCCTCAAACAGAATGGAATGTGACATATTATTTAATGTTTTCAATGTTATGTTTAAATATATTAATATAATAAAATGGGTCAAACTTGTATGTTTGAAAATTGGTTCGAGCTGTTTGGCATGTACTTACAGCCAAAATAAAAGTTTCCAGAACGTTAAAGTATCTTCGTTTGACTGATATTAGTCGAGAACAGCTGCATTGATTTATATGACGTATTTTATTTGCACATGTCCAAACTAGCCTCGATTGAAAACATTTATATAGGTATATTAATCAATCGAAAAGTTTGAACGATATACACAATCTGTATTCTACATGGCCTCAAATTATGAAGATTAATTGTTTATAAATGTCTAAGAAATGAGTAAAAATCTATTTCAACCATCAAAATTGCCAATTTTATTTGTTTTTTTTATGATTTAATGCCAAAAAAACTAGTATTCACAACCACTTATAAATTGTCAACATAAGTTTTTTAAATAGTCTTTTTGCTCATTAGCTAAAGTATAGCTAAGCTAAAACCAGATCAGCAAACATGTTAAGTAGCAATTATGTAGGAGGATATTGTCAGGCGTGATTCAATATATGATATACCTATATTGTCCGTAAAGGGCTTTGAAGCTTTATGACTTTCTGTAAATAGACGAGGTGGATGTATTCATGGTGTGGGCGTACCGCCGCCTGTTAGCTAGAATTGCGTATTCCTGATAATCCATTTCATTCATGTGAAAGAGTCAAGTCGAAATTGATATACGATGTAAGGAATATTATCTATAAACCTATACGTACAAAAAATTCTAACTGAGTCGAATCTGTACATTAAATATTTTATAGAAAATCTTATTGAAATTGTCATTATTATCAATACAGAGGCTGAATCTATAGTTTTTAGAATTTTTGTCACAACTGACTGTCTGGGAATGCATCACGACAAAACCCTCTACACAGATTTTGATAAAATTTGATATGATGATAGCTGATAATTTGCGAGTATTTAGGATAATTTTTACTGCGGGAAAATATCTCATCTCTGAGAAATCTATACTAACCGTTAAAAAGTCCCTACGTTTTTGACGAACCTGAGTGAAGCGAGTGTGAGTCACTAGTAATAAAATAAATCCTTGACATTTTCATGAAAAATGGCATAAGTATAAATTGAACAATTTTTTATTATTATTATAACTCATATTTCTTTCTGTAGCTTCGAAATAACTAAGCCTTCCAGAATGCAATAATGATTTCTATGTTATATGAGACTGCATATCAGATTTAACTGTTCATTATTATAATAAAAGTTATATTTTTTAATGTAGATTATTTATCCTCTTGTGCACTTTCCTTCTTTTTGTGTGTACAAAAAAGTTTTTATTATTATTATTTGTCATATAACAAAGCTGTAATCGTATTTATATGTATGAATACAATACAGCGTGAGTTGACAAAACAAGAAAAATTGTTTTATTTGTTTATTATTATACCATCTTACAAAGTTAAAATATTCTTGTCTTATCACATAACTTTAAGTAAAAACCTATACTATGAAACATAAGAGTATTTAGAGATCAATCATTTTGTATCAAAATGAAAATATTTGTGTATCAAAGAAGAATATCATCATCATCTTCGTCAGTTTGATTAATATTTTATTATTTGTAACAGTTTAATAAAATGTCAGCTCAAATATGTTTTAACATATTACTAGCGGCTCACCCTCGCTTCGCTCGGATTCGCCTCTAGACAAACAAAGGCAAATCGAACCGTACCTTTTTCCGGGATAAAATGTAGCCTATTTGTTATTCTGATGTATGAATTATATTAATGTAAAGTTTCATTAAAATCCAATCAGTAGTGTTTGTGTACTAAGCTGTATAAGTTACTATAGTTTTTTAACTATCCTACGGGAACTCTTTAATTTTCCGGGATGAAACAAGAAAATTGAAAAAGAAAAACGGATTTGTTCTATTTCTCTTCTTACATCCCCCTGATTCGGTTTTTAACTTTTTTTCTATGTACAGACATTCGACCTCTACAGTTTTATTAAATGTATAGATATTCCGGAATAAAGACATTTTGCATTAACACATATGTATGTAAGAATGCATCGTAAGTCTATAAATTTGTTAGTTTCATCAAAATCTCCTAAAATAAATATTACTACAAAACTTTTTTTACTAACAAAAATATTGGTCAATTTTTGGAGAGCTGACCGCCCATTAAACATTTAAAATTCACCGCCAAAGAACAGCATTGTAACTTAATATTAAAATAAGCAATAATTGTTCAAAAATGGAAATTAATTTGCCATTTAAATACTGTATATTTAAAATGTAAATTCAAAATTGCGACAATATTGAGTAACTACATATGTTGTTTATTGGTGTCTATAAAGTTATATGTATGTTTCAAAAAAAAAAATCTGTATTGCACACATTTGGTGTTAAAAATGACAATAGATACTTCATGAATTTTCTAAAAAATATATTAAATGAAGTATGCACAGCCGGTCTTATCTTAGCAATCTCTACCACTACCATATAGCCTGAAAATAAAACAACAGTCAAATCAAAATGAAATCTTACTGAGTTCCATATCGTGCAATGGTAGAGGGGGTCGCGGCATCGGGTTGCGACTCCGCCTGGCCGCGTCGCAGGTTTGCGTCGGGTGCCACGCCGCCTTGCAATGGTAGCAGAAGGACGCTCCGCAGCCCGGCGCTAGGCACGTTAGCTTGGGGCAAGATGCGCAGCCCGTCGCTACTACTGCAAAACTGTTGTTTGAAAAATAATTAAAAATGTCTATTGGAATATAATAAATATTAAAAAAAATTAGACACATTGGCCATGGTCTTAGTCGCCTCTTGTGTTTGAGCTCTATTTTTTTGGAAATTAACAAGTTTTTTACCCGTTTTGCTCACGTCGTAGGTTTATTCAGGATAAGCTATTCATTGGTCAAATTCATTGAATCGACTCGAGAAATAACAAACACATACAGACACTTGATCATAAAATATAGCATTATTAACATAATTATGTATGTGATGATTGACTGTTACTATCTGTTACGCCAAAACTCGAATTTTCGATCTTCGCTCATGTAGAATATTTATATTATAAATACTAGCGACTCAGCCTCGCTTCGCTCGGGTTCGTCCCTGGGTAGGATTTGTATGTTTGTATTGTAACGTGAAAACCGTGGGAATGAGATAATCTCCCGCGGTAAAAAGTAGTTTATGTCACTCCCTGGCTTTCCAACTATCTCCACACAAAAAATCACGCCAATCCATCACTTTGTTTCGAAGTGATATAAGGACAACCAAAACAAACACACTTACACATTTATAATATTAAAAATAATATGGAGTTATAAAAATGGCTCCAACTAACACGCAAATAACTCTATTCTTGTAATTCCTCTCACCTGAATGCTATATCTGTAGTCTGTACGATAGTCACATTAATATCGGCTTAGGCATTCAATATAGGTACTAGCGAGTAGAAACAGAAGGACTTAAATACAAAAAAAATATTTCAACACTTGCTTGAGCTTTGGCGCATTTTACCAGTATATGAAGCAATATGGGGCAGCTATTTTAAAATCACAAATAGACACTTTAATTTTATCAACAAAACACATAAATATTAAGTTTTCCTTCAAATTATTTATTCACAAATATCTATTTTGAGTTGACTATCACTTTTAAATATGTATACCTATACATATTAAAATACTTTGTCTTAGTATGTACGTAAAGCGAATGTTCAGTTTTAGTAAGTCCGCCTGGATCGGTTGGCTTAATTACACGAATTAATGGGCATGTGGCTATTAGGTCTTGGACACCGTTAAGTTATATTTAATTAGATTAAAAGGTCGAAACGTGGCGATAATGATAATACCGAAGATTATCAAAGTTATTATAACGTAAATCTTTTAAATGGACAATATCGGATTAAGCAGCTTATGTACGGAATGAGAGATGAAATATTATTTCTCTATACATATAATATTTTTTAATTTTTAATTAAACGTTTAAATTTATACTTAGTTCTGCGATCATATGCGAATAAGTATTACAAAAATGTAAACAGTAATCAAATTAAAAATGCCAGATATTTTTGGTGAGCTCATTTTTAAATCTTATGTAAAAAAAATATATTGCGATTCTTCAACTTCAATTGAGATTCACAAACATCAATAATATATTAATCTATCTTCTATATAAATAAAAAGAACGTTCATATGTTTGTCCTCTATGCGTTCAACATTTCACCATTGCGTTGCGTTCGTTCACCATTGATCAGATTGTGATGAAACTCTGGTGGGTTATTATGTATACTTTTGCGAAGGTTTCCAGCGCAAAAGAAAGATTTTTCTTTGGATGTTTATCTTTTATGCGTTCCTAAACCATTCAAACTTACCCACCCACCGCATCCGAGCGAAGCGAGGGTAATTCACTAGTAGTCAATATATAGGTATATCAATATTTGCATAATATATTAATATTTGCATAATTAATATTTGCATACGGCATTTATCAACGTCAAATATCATCATAGCATATAAGCAAATCGAAAGAAACATATTTAATAGTAATAAAAATATTTTGGCTTATTAGATAAGATTAATCAAGTTGGAATAACATCGCCGAGGTAATTTTATTTAAAAAATATGATTTTATAGTAAAAATACACTTTTGACTGATTGTACTAAAGAAAACTAAAACTTGAACGTTTTAGCGTACATTGAATAGTACTAACCACCTAGCTCCATATCATCAGATAAACTCGATTGCATTAAATAATAATATTTTCGTCTGGATTTACGTACAAAAGTTTCATATCGATAGGAAAATTAAAACTAGGTTAAAATCGACTTCCAAGGTTTCCATACTTAGGTATTAGTGATGCTAATAAAATTCTAGTAAAGTATTTTTAAAGTGCTACGATCAAAGGGACTGAGTGCAATATAGAGTATATAACATTTAACATACAAATAACATAAGTAACATTTAGTTTTTTTTTTAAATTCAAAATTTTTATATAATTTTTATATAATCTTATCGTGGTGGTAAGCTTTTGTTTATGCGTTGTGAATCTGTGGAAACTTGGTTGGTTTTTAGCATTACTTTTATATGTTTTAGAATGTAATTATTTATTGTACTGTTTGTTTCCCTTGAAAAGCTAATAAATAAATAAATAAATAAATAAATAAATAAAATAAAGAAGGGCCGTTAGTTACCTGCAGTCTGGAGCGGGACACCACCTCGTGTCGGGGTCGGCGGCGAGCGCGCGCCGTACTGAAAATTCTTCATATTTGTCGTACAACGTTTGATTATCTATTATCCGTCTCACATCTGAAATTAAAGTATTATTTATTAAATCTCTACCTTCACTAAAAATCTATAAGTACATACATATACCTAATAAAATTCTGAGTCGAATCTGTACGTTAAATATTTTTTAGAAAATCTTATTGAAGTAGTCATTATTATCGATACAGTGGCCGAATCTATAGTTTTTAGAATTTTTGTCTGTCTGTCTTTCTGGGAACGCATGACGAGAAAACCACTGGACATATTTTGATGGAATTTGGTATGATGATAGCTAGTTATACGGGTCAACATACCTATACGATATTTTTTATTGCGGAAAAATATCTCATCTATCAGAAATCTATACTAAACTATAGTAATATAACTATAGTAATAATAGATAAATTCGAAAAGAAATTAAAAATATACTTTAATTATTAGCTTTTAATAATTAACTGGTCTTTTATGATAAATTTTATTTAAAGAGAGCGACATCATGATCATTCTATCCAATATTTTATTATACACATCGTTTTTATAAATTATATAAACTATATCCGGATTATATCAGAAATAATTCTTAAACATAATTTTCTTCTAAATCAAACCTCGTTTGGGTTAAAAGTTGAATAAAATCAAAGATTACATTAGTTATTCTTAATTTAAGCAAACAGAAAAAATAAGGAAAAAAAAATCATAAAAAATATCACATAGGTACGATATATAATATATCCATCTTTAAAATTATAAAGTAAGGCTTTATTAACGTATCCATATTATAGTTAATGAGGCATGTAAACAAACAATCGGATAGGTACAGAAAAAGAAGCTATAAAGATTAGTATCTATACCTATAGGCATTATGAAAAACCTTACTGTCATTAAATCACAATAGTGTACGTTTTTTAACGCTCGACGCAAAAAAGGGTAGTTATAAGTTTCACGTGTGTCTGTCTGTGGCATTGTAGCACCCAAATGGATGGACCGATTTTAATTTAGTTTTTTTTGTTTGAAAGGTTACTTGATCGAGAGCCCTTAGGCGGCCTTAGCTATTGTATTGTATAAAGAAGTGAGAGCATAGCTTGTGTTTTGGATTTACATATTAGAGTCTATTATATATGATTAAAATGATTTTGAAAAAAATTAGAATATTTTATTGATATTCCAAAGAAGCAATAACCTATGAATAAAAAAATATCAACCAAATTCAGTGCCTTCTCTTTTTTAAATCGGTTAATTACAACAGAAATCACTATAAACGTCGTTCGTGGTTGTCATAATATTATGTCAGCAACGCGAGGCAAAATTATAATTAAATTTTCTACATTCAATAAAGCGTTAATCAATATTTGTATATGATTTCTCTTTAATTAATGAACCTGTCCGAATAATTAATCACACAGTAACTGTTAACTGCAACATGTTAGTTTTTGTACAATTTTATAAGTATAGAATAGAATGCAGTACGCAATATTCAATAATTAGAGACAGTGGTAGCCCAGTGATAACGCGCTCGCTTGGGTAACCGAGAGAAGCGGGTTCAAATCCCGGGTCTCGCACCTCTGATATTTTCATGTGCGAATTATTTCCAACATGATTACCACTTGTCTTACGGTGAAGAAAAACATCGTGAGGAAATCTGCATGTCTGATATATATAATATATATATATATATATATATATATATATATATATATATATATATATATGTACGTATTACTTAATATATTATATTTACCTTTTGGTACGGACTAACGCAGTCCTAAAAATTAGATAACTTATATAAAATAGTTATGTTGTAGTGTAGGTTTTTACTTATACAACTTCAAGATAAGTATACATTTGTTTTTGTAGTCGCGCTGAAGAGAGCTGGTTAATTGACATTTTGAATAAAATTCCTTTCAAAGCTCGTTATAAACATTACAATCCATCACACTATGTTCATTCTGATAGAAGAGCGATATGAATTATATATATATATATATATATATATATATATATATATATATATATATCAATATTTTTTCTCTCGAAAATTATTTAAAACAGACTATACTAAAAGTTTTTCAAAACACGTGGCACCAATATCATCATCCTAAAGACAATCAAATCGCAGTATAAGTGTCCCATAATAGTACAGAGTTCGACTATCTTTAAGTAAGCTAACACTTAACAGAGTATTAACATTAATTTTATTAATAAGTGAATCAGTGATATCTAAAATAAAATTATATTACTATTATTACAAAACAAGATTAATGTATATAATAATCGTTCATAATAATTATGATAACGTCATGTTGTGATAATTTTTCGTATTTCTCAGAAATTACTCTGCTTCAGGAAATTATTATCAATTCTGTGGGCACAGGAAACTCGGACGGGAATTGTAGGTCTCTGGCGTGATTCGTAAAAGTAAGTTGACTCGTCACGATAGCGTCAATGTTGTATACAATTGTATAATAGACACTTTACCTCTTCACGCTTGTGGTTGTTAACTTATTTCTGAAATAGCTCTTAAATACTGATAATAGTACGAAAATCATTATTTTTCTCATTAGGCTCTCTTTTCGCCCCCTTAATATAAATACCAGGGCAAAGAAGTGCTAAGCATTAATACAAATATTCACTTGTATAAAGAATAGAACTTACGACCTCTTGATTTTATTTATATGTTATCTGTATGTACTAATATTATAAAGAGGTAAAGTTTGTGAGCTTGTAGGGGTAATCTCTGGATCTACTGAACGGATTTAGATGAAATTTGGTAAGAAGATAGTTTGAGACCCCTCGGAAGGTCATTGGATACTTTTTATCCCGGATATCATCCCTTAAGGGGATGAAAATGGGGATGACAGTTTGTATTGGGAAGCAAGCTAGGGACGAACCCGAGCGAAGCGAGGGTGAGTCGCTATAAAATATAAAGTAGGTTTATTAAAACAATTTTCGTGTTTCATTCACTTTCATGCTAAAAATGAATGATCTAAATCTCAAATAAAGGTCTAGAAGCTGTCATATGAATACTATTTGAATTAGTATTGCAAAATGTAATTGTGCATGAAATAGTCGCCGCATCTAGTAGTTATAAAGTAGTTACGTATATCGAGACTTTCTATTTTCGTAGAAGATATTGATTTTATAGATGCCGGTGAAATGCTTGGAAATACAGATACACGATTATGACTTCGTTGTAAAGCATATGGGGTTATAGAGCCAAAAGAAATTAAAATGTAGTTTTACGGGTTTTTTATATTATTAAGAATAAAATATCTATACATATAACAAATTTGTCGAATGTCTGTACATAGAAAAAAGATCTAAAAACCGAGCCAGGGGGATGTAAGAAGAAAAATAGACTGAATCCAGATGTTTTCAAATTTTTTGTTTGTCTGTTTGTGCAGGCTAATCTCTGAAACTATTGGACCGATTTAAATAAAATTTGCATTGTGGTAACTTATATCTCCGGCCAATGTTTTAGATAATTTTTATCCCGGAAAAATGAATGGTTACCGTGGGATAGATCTGTTTGTGCTTTTCTAGACGCGAAACCGAGCGAAGCGAGGGTGAGCCGCTAGTACATTAGGGTGTGCCAAAAAATGACGATATTTTTTTTCTTCGCTCTCAAAAAAGCAAAAATTTGAAAAAAGATTCGTGAGCCTGTAACATCGTTGTTATTGATGATATGAAAAAGTTGATAAGGACTTTTTTATAGGATTTTAAACGTACTACAAATTTGTCATTTAACATTTTTCTGTAACTCTTACAGTTTAGCTAAAAAATGCAAAAAACCATAAATTTGAACTTTAAAGCTATATAACAACTAAAATATTGAAGATAGAAATTCGACTCAATGGAACTTTTTGTAGTAAATTTAATAGTAAAACGGTCCATTCATTCATTTTTTTAAAAATTATTTTCGTCATAGTTTGCAGAACAAAAAAGTGTTAAAAGTCATATTTTCCATACAATTTGTATGGGAAAACTTAAAGTTCGATGCAGAACCTCTTAGAATTGAAATTTTGAGCTCCGCTTTTAACAGGAGCTTTGTTGGGACATTTTCTAAGATATTTTGAGGTGAGAGCGAAGAAAAAAAAATATCGTCATTTTTTGGCACACCCTATAGTACATATATATAATACATACTTAAATTACCATAATACAAGCACCCTCGATGAAGATTTTACTCATAGAAGTTGTGGTTTTTTTATACTATAGGTAGACAAAGTGAAAAAAAAAAACTGTTAAAAACCATAACGTATTTGCAATCCATCTTAAAACTAAATTAAACCCGAGGTATTCTTCAATATACGATAGCTACTAAACAGAAAGCCATAAAAGAAGTTACAAGTTTATTGAGCACTCAATATTTATTGTCTTGAAAAGACCATCTTTGATTATTTTGACTGTATATAATAATAATGCACTGTGATGAAACTTGCGTACCTACACTTATATTACTAAGTATACAAACAAACAATGATCATTGTGTACTTAAACTATTAAATACAAATACACACATAATATATTACGAACATACATTTTTACATATCACTTTTTATTTCGTTAGTTTTACGTAAAGCTTTTGTTACATAAAAGTTTATTGTTTAGTCACTAGTAACTACGTAATGATACATATCTTGAGCAAAAAATATCTATGTGAGGGATGATGGCGCATCGCACAATTATAATTTAATTTCGCCCTTTCCAGTGTTCAAGTCGACTATTCGCAGTTCATTATTGTTAAAGTTTTTTTTTTAATATGTTTGCCTATCATATTAGGAACGTCGTGACTTAAAGATGTGGTATGTACATACATATTTTGTGTTAAAGTAAAAGTTAAAGTTAGCTAGATAAATCTAAGTGTATATCTAAGACGAGCGACTCACCCTCGCTTCGCTCGGCTTCCTCCCTAGCTTGTTTCCCCATACAAACTTTCATCCCCATTTCCACCTCCTTATGGGATAATTTCCGACATAAAAAGTATCTTATGTCCTTCCCAGGGCTTCGAACTATTTTCTTACCACATTTAAATCTGTTCAGTA